CGAGATAAGAAGGTATACCCTGAGGCCCCAGCACAAGCCAAAAGAACTTCATATGCAGTTTCTCGAAGGTCGTCATCTGTGATTCCTACAACAAATCAAGAAAAAAGTTTAAAAGGCACTCCCCCATGTTCTAACTTTCATCAAGGACAAGATGGAAAATACTAAAATAGTCAAACAATTTGAAAGATATAACCTCAAAGATCCTATCCTTTGCAACCTAAGTGCAGATGGATGTGATCAATGTAGTTACATTAGATACCCTACAGAGTAAGAAAGACTTATTGGAAGAAGCAGCTAAGCGTGCTCACTGCTTTCTTCATATTGCAGCTACACACAACTCCAGCAATTTCAACACAGATGAACTCCACCAGCCAATAAATTTATTACTACCTGTTGAAAAAGAGGGCAATTTCAGAGCCAGATCAGCTGCGTCATTTGGGTTTCTTCTTGACATCCTCAGGCTATTAACCTCGAGATCTTCATCGTCCTCAAAATCTTCAATGTCATCCACAGTCAGTTCCCGAGTTTGTGAGGACTCTAAGGACTCTGATCGTGATACATTTGTCTCAATTAGCGATGGTGCGGCAATAGGTGGTGGCGTAATTACTGCAGGAGGTGTATAGACAGGAGGAGGGGGTGTGAAAGCAGGAACAGGCGGCGGTGCTCTTTTTGGAGGTGACCCGGAAGAATCTAGATCCGTAGCCAAGAAAAATTCATCGCTAGAACCTGAATTGTTCTGGAATGTCAAGATAATATATAGATTAGCAACAATTTTGACACGATCATACATTTCAAAAAAATAGGGGGGACAATTATATTCACAAAACCTACAGCATGTGAAAGAAAGAAAAAAAAACAAGACTAAGAAGAGAGGGGGGGACTGCATGTAAATCATACTTACCATCTGAGGAAACTCCGTAAGGTCATGATAATCTCTAATGGCTTCAGATAGTTCAAGCATTGCACCTATTTTGACAGATGATAGCATGAGAAATTTATTGAAACAAATGAAACTTAAAAATATAAGTATGCACACATAAAATCACCTTTTTTAGCACAATTAAGAACATAATCCACGCTAACTTGGTCTAGATCCACATCATCGAGGGTAACTGCACCTGGAGGCATTACAACTTTCTTTATCAAGCTACCAGACAGTACAAAATCAAGAAGTATTTGTCTGTCCCGCCTGAATCGTTGCAAAAGCTCGATGGCATTTTCCCTGTATGGGAGGAATAATACATTGTTCATCCAAAACAGACGAAATAGAAGTCCAAACACCAGTAACGCTCAAATGATAAGCATTCTACTAGATATTCGGGGGACACTTACTCTTCCATGGTGAAGCTAAATGATACAAGTAGTGAAATCCCACAATTTCAGACAATGTGCATCCGTTCCATCTTTGATGGCTAAAAATTATTCTGGTACCAAAGTCAGAAATTAATATACCATTATATGTTTCAGCAGCAACCAACTAAAAATCGAATTCATGAATCAGAGCATTGCAGTGCACTTTAAATATGGCAGTTTCAAGTTCAACGACTTTTCCTATGCATTCAATCTGAAGTAAAGTAGACGTTCTTGGATTTCACGTATTCTGGAAAAGAAATCAAGTTCGAAATCTCGGAAACTTAATCATACCTGAATTCCCAGAAATTAAAAAACCGGGCAGAGTCCTCCCAGCTGAAGCAAGAGCTGATTCGATGCTGACTGCTAGAAGACCATAAGCCACTGGATCCTGCAAATTGAAGTAGCTTCCGCAATTAAATACTCCGTCCAATTTACTTCGTATCGATTCTGCAGCTGGCAGAAGTAGCAACTTCAGAAGTAAATAAACTGAAAGATTCCATTGGAAGCTCGAGTAGAGAAAGAACTTCCATTGATTACCTTTGCTATGCAGCTGCCGGTTTGGACGAGCAACGAGGATGAGACCAACAGTCAATATTTGGAGTGGGAATTACGGCAAATGAATTATGGAAGCTTGAATTTAGAAATTGGCCGCTGAGCATAGAAATCGGAGATGGATCTAATCCTCTTAATTTATTATTGAAAAATATAAATACCGATCATGTTGGTCCAAAATAATTTAATTATTTTTTTCGCTTTTTAGTTGTATATATTAATATTTATTTATATTCTACAAAACTTCCAGTCCCTCACGTGCGAGATACGTACGTGTAGGCGTTTAATCTCGAACTATACTCTCAGCTACAAATATACAGATCTTAAATTTTCATTTTTTTTTTTTGTTAATACAGACATTTTATGGATTATGTAAATTCGATTGTAGTAAAAAAATATGTAAATATTAAGAATTTGTTTAATAATAATTTAACTTAATTCATTTTTTTAATACAACACCAACTGAATTATAATCTCTTTCTTCGAACACGTAGATGATAGATATTCTAAAAAGTAGTCATCAATTATCTCAAATTTTAATACTGTATATATAAATTGGATATTTACACTGCAACAAATGACATTTAAAATATCAATAAACTTTTTTTAAATTATAGATTTTAATTTACGTCCCTTATATTTTATTTGCAATGAAAAAGTATATGATAAAAAACATAATCCAATGTGATAATATATCTATAAGTGGTGATTGATGAATTTTATTACATGAAAATGAAACTTTACTATAATGATACCAAAGTCGTGTATTTTAGTTGAACTATCGTGAGACTATTATTTTTCTTTTTTTAAATTATAACGAGTGACTTTAGTTTTAACTATTGTTAGTATTTTAATTTTTCTTTTTTTATATAATACGTGGTGATGGAGGATCGAACTCATAAGCTCATGGTGGGATATATATGTCAATTATCGAAGTTATGTTTGCCTTTACACTATTTTTAATTTTTAATAAATTAAACTTTTAAACCAAAACTAAGAAGCAATATTTGAATATTTGGAATATTTTAAAAATGATATATTTATTTCTTTTTAATAAAAAAAAAGTATAATATTGTAATCGTAAGATAGAGATTTAAAATTTCAACATATAAAATAAATAAATAACATCCTAGTTTGAGCAAAATAATAATAAAATAAAATACTCCCACGTCATATAGGATATCAATAACAAAAACAACAATTAAAGACCTTGTTTATGAAACAATAATTAAAAAGCTTTAAAATTTTGAATGATAATAGTAATTAAAAAAATTATTTTTATATCGTCCTTCACTCGGAGAAAACCCTGGTTTGGTGTGTAGGGTTTAAGCATTGCCGGCGAAGCAATTGAGCACAAAATTTTGCTGCTCTGTTTCCTCTCGACATACGCCATGGATAAATTTCACAAAGAACTTGACAAAGAAACGTGTAAGGCGGAGAAATTCGTAAGAGAAGAAGAAGAAGAAGACGACGAGGAGCAAGAAGATGGAACGGACGACTGGGACGATTGGAATGCGGACGAGGAAGAAGGCGAAGGAGAATTTGACTCGAATTTTCTGTGTCTGTTCTGCAACTCCAAGTACAATGACTGCGACACGTTGTTCAACCATTGCAACTCGGTCCACCATTTCGATTTTCGCGGCATTAGGAGGGCTCTGGGTTTAGATTTTTATGGTTCGTTCAAAATTATCAACTACATACGATCTCAGGTTAGCTCAGCTAGTCTGATAACTTTTTCTTTTTTTTTTTGGCGAAATTCACGTTTGTTGGATATTCGTCGACAGAATGGTCCTAAAAAGAACGAATTTTTTAGCACTTAAAAGTGCAACCAGGAGCTGCGCGAATCAACTAGACTGGATCAATGGGGTGTCCGTGTTTTAACTTTTGGTCTCACAAAAATAGTTTTTGTAGAGCTTCTCTCCGGAACTATTTGAATCGTCAGCTTTTAACTATGATAATCATCCAATTGGGGGGTTGGCGATATTGTTTTGTGTTCACGATGAATTGGAATTGATTTGGAAATTTTAGTTTCCAAATAATATTAAGTGGATTAGCTACCGCTTAATAAGGAAAACCATTGATGTCTCGAGAGTCAAGCAGGCACGCACTTTAAGAAAAAGAATTTATTGGCTATCGAACGAGGTGTTAACTATTAACACGTTATTTATCATTTTTTATACTGATCAGGTAGCAGAAAATAGGTGTTGGAGCTGTGGTCTGTCGTGTCAATCAAACCAGGATTTACAGAACCATTTGCACAAAACAGTAAATCTCAATAGCATGAAGGCTCCGTGGGATGATGATAAATATTTAAAACCCTTCAGGGAAGACGATCCTCTCCTGTACAGTTTTGCAGAAGACGAAGAGGATGATGACATTTCACTTACCAACAATAATCTTGGGAGGAATATGGATAGTGATGGAGGTAATTGCAATGCCGATGAAATGACTGGAGAAAGTCTTCCATTTCATCATAACCAAATCGAGGAAAATGGAATAAAAGATTGTAGTTCTACTTCACATGGTTATTTGAATCCTCCAAGCAACTTAGAGGCCGTGATTCAGAGTACTGTGAAAACCACGGAGACTTTAGGATTGAATGATAAGATGCTGGAAGACGATCAATTGAAAGTATCCAGACGAAGTTTGTATTCAAAAGACATCAAGAATGTAAATGATAGCTACTTTGGTTCGTATAGCTCTTTTGGCATACACAGAGAGATGTTAAGCGACAAGGTACTATATTATTTCCCAGTCTACTTTTTAACTGAATGTCACAAATCAATTTATTACAGATGGGGAATACTTCATTTCTGAAGTAATATATTGCCAATATTACCTTTTATGCAGGTCAGAATGGAAGCTTATGGGCAAGCTATTTTGCAAAACCAATCTCTTTTCCACGAAGCAGTTGTGATGGATGTAGGCTGTGGAACAGGCATACTTAGGTGAGMTGGAAAATAATTTGGTATAATTGGCTGCAATTTGTCGTTTGGGCTTGCTGTTTCTACTCATTTTTAGCATTAGAATATTTCGTATATTAAACATTATAATGACGTGCAATAACTACAGTCAGTTCCTATACATGCATGCTTTTCAATCAAGCTTGGCTGACATTGAAAAACTATTCACTCTGTTATTCTTCCCTTCTATAGTCTCTTTGCTGCAAAAGCAGGTGCGTCAAGAGTTATTGCAGTTGAAGCAAGTGATAAGATGGCAGCAGTGGCCACCCAAGTAGTGAATCAACTTCAATATAGTCATTTAGTTTTCTTGTTTCTCTGATGGTTTGTTTCACACCACCTCCTGTACTGGAATTGGCTGCAGATTGCAAAAGAGAATGGCCTCTTGTGGAATAGGAAACAAACGGGAGATAGCAGCATGTCAAGCGGGATTGTAGAAGTGGTTCACAGTATGGTAGAAGAACTCGAAAAGAACGTAGAGATTCAGCCTCGTAGTGTTGATGTTTTATTGAGTGAATGGATGGGCTATTGCTTGCTGTACGAGTCAATGCTCAGCTCAGTTCTCCTTGCAAGGGATCGTTGGTTGAAGCCTGGAGGTGCAATCTTACCAGATACTGCGACAATTGTAAGTTTGCATTTTTTGATTCACCCTGTGAGAGGTCTGATCTTGAAATTACATTTGTTTTTTTTTTTTAATAATTTCTCTATCTACCCTTCAGCTTGTTGCAGGATTTGGAGTCGGTGGAACTAGTCTTCCATTTTGGGAAAATGTGTATGGTTTCAGCATGTCTTGTGTTGGAAAGGAACTTGTAAGGGATGCTGCCAATATTCCTATCGTTGACATTGTGGATGCTAATGATTTAGTGACCAGTGCTGCAATTCTTCATGTAAGTACTACCCAAACAACATTTTTATTCCTTGTGGGGATGTGTTGCACTCTACTACTACAGCTTTTGATGAACGCTATTCTTCTTGGTTCTCAGAATCATGAGTGTTCAATCTGCTAGGTCTGAAAGAATTATACTTGTAAAGGAACATGATTATTGGGAGAAAATACTCTAACTAGCATGTAGGAACACAATTTTCTTGAATCTCTTATCGTAGAAAGTTGGACACTACTATTTTAGTTATGCTCGCATCTCCAAGCATCCAGGGGGAGCTTTATTACTAATTTACTCCTGTACACTTTTTGTTCAATGAACTTTTTCTTTCTTTTTTAATTTTAAATAGATAAAAGTCATGCGTCATACTGGGGTTAAAAGGCTTCATATATTTGTTGTCATAGTTCATTCATTACATTTTCCTCTCTTCTACTAATGATTACCTTAGCAAGTCTTGAGCTGTTACGTCAATTACTAGACTAACGTGTATCTCATTTATCCATGGTTTTGTATCATTTTTAAGAATATGATAAATATGGTTTAGGATGCTCTGAGAGCATTCCAATTTCTAAACACTCTGATCTACGTGGACAACAAAATGGTTCGACTGATTTAACCCCTGCTGTAATACATGTGTAACTGTGAACGTTATCTTACATCCCCTTCTTTTTATGTTGCAATTTGGTTTGGGAGTTGATGAAGACATGCTGTCGCTTTTTTCATACAGACTTTTGATCTAGCAACCATGCATCTTGATGACGTAGACTTCACTGCGAATACCGAGTTGGAACCGAGTTTACATTATCCTTCAAAGAGCGGAGATGATGTTGAAGTCGAAGTATCTTGGTGTCATGGAGTTGTCTTATGGTTTGAAACTGGTTTTACAAGCAGATTCTGCAAAGAATCACCAGCGGTTCTGTCTACATCCCCATACACTCCCAAAACTCACTGGTCTCAAACCATATTAACCTTCAGAGAACCAATTGCCGTAACATCTAGAAAATCTGCCACCAACGAATCCGCACCAGTGGGTACCGATGCCTCCCCAGCTGTCAAAGTTCATTTGCGCGTTAGCATTGTCCGCGCACCTGAACATCGAAGCATTGACATTTCACTAGAAACTACTGGGATTGCTGGCGATGGCAGGAAGCGCCACTGGCCTGTACAACTTTTCTCGCTAAGATAAGAGTACCAAACCATAAATGCCAGATGCTTGGATCCTGAATCAGCAATTTCAGACTAAAAACTGGTCTGATTATTTATTATGTTTAAGGATATTGTGTCATCTCCATATCTGTTTTTTGATAGTTGCAGAAGATTCATTCATGGAGTTAACCAATTTTTTGACTCTTTATTTTTTATATGTAAGTTCAATTGTAGGCATTGAGAGGCATATGCTCGGTGTCTCTAATATCATGGTATGGTTAATTCAGGCCATTAGTTTTGTTTTGATTATTGTATTCTATTTTTCTTGTATTTCCACAGCAAAATGAGGAGTCTGTTGGATTTTGAAGAAAGCTTTTTATCTGGTGATATTTTTGGAAATTCACTCATCTACCTTTGGAATTGCATTGTATAAATGTCTTTTTTTCCTTTCCCTGTTGCCTTTTGACTTTTCAATCGTGGGGATTTCTAACCTCCAACTTTTTAGTTAATGATTTATATCTTAATTAGTTGATTTATATCTTAATTAGTTGAGTTATCTTGATAGATATTTTATTTTCTTAAATAGACTTGATAGAATTCTAGATATAAATGAACTTCGACATAAATCTAAGTTTTCGAACAGAGGGACTGAATTTGGAGACTAAAGAGAAAGATGGGTAAAAAGAAACCAAACGTCTTCCAATTTCTCTCCTTCAAAGGAAGTTGTCAAAATAGAGTAATTGACAAAGATGGAGGATTTTGAGAAAATATTTGAACCTTTTTAAATTAACACTTAAATTAAGGGTGTGTCTGGGAGTGATTTTGACACGGTAAAATCACTTTTACCATTGTCAAAATCACGTCCCGTGTCAAAATCACTTTTACCATTGTCAAAATCACGTCTATTTTATCATGTTTGGCAAATTGAACAATTAGTTTTAAGAAAACAAAAAATTACTTAAAATTGATTTTTAAAGTATCAATTATTCTTTAAATCTCTTTTTTCAAAATTGCTCCTTCTACCCTCACTTCAAAACACATCCTATGAAAATATATAATTGTTTCTAGAATTTGAATTTTAAGAGATGAATTTTATGACTCGTGGGATAGTAGAAAATATTTTCCAAAATTTTCATCTCTATATTGTACTCTCTACAATCAAGTTTTCTATTTGCTCGTCATCTACAAGATTTCTTTAAGAGCATTTCTTTCAAAACAGTCTGAAGGTGAAAATTCGAACACAAAACCTTTTAATAAAAAATATATATCTTAACCAGTTAATACAGACTCAAGTTGACAAGATTTACTAAATCCAAGTAAATACCGCCCACTAGTTCAGATCTAAGAAACGAAATTGTTAAAAAGGGTATATTTAGTGGGAAAAAATACTTTTTAAATTCAAGATGTGAAAAGTATTATCACAAATGTAATTCATCTAATGGTAATTCGAACCTCGCGACTAATTGTTAAAATACATATTACCATCTAAAAAATCGAGAACTCTCCTAATAATTATTGAACTAAAGAAAATTGCAATTTATTTCAATACATAATGTCTCCCTCAAAAATCAAGATTGAGATCCATTTCAGCGTTGAAGATATTGACATCAATGATCAATCTAATCTAATCCGTAGAAACGAGCGGTATAATGATGACAATTGAGAATCCTCCATTAAGTCGCTAAAGCTGGCCTCTCCAGATTCCAGTTTGCCTTCACTAAATCCTAAATTTCAAATTATTGTTTTTCGACTACCAACAAATGGACTTTCAGCCTTTAGGTGATTTGAAATTTGGCCCAAATTTTCTTATCGTTTACACCATTTTTTCTCATTCAATATAATAACATATTTTTACGTTGATCGTCGACAAATTTTCTTGTAAATTGTAATAGATAATTACAGGTGCAAAGAATCAAATTACTCAAATTAAACACAGCTAAACTGAATCTGAACTAAACTAATTAATCATAGCCAACTACAAATTTCAGATGGGTGGGTGCCTAAAACAAGGGCAGTGGTGGCGGCTATTCTACACAATAACTCACCGCTCAATACAATACCCCCGTGGTAATACATCTTTAGAGAGAGAAAGGGAGATTGAAGAGGGGAGAGAGAGAGAGAGAAAATATATATATATATATATAGATATATAGATATATGTACACTAGGTGGGTTATGGAAAGCTTTAAATTAAGAATCAGGCTGTTCAGTTTTAATAGGTGCACCTGAAGAGGATCCACAACTTCCATTTTGTGGGTAAAGGCTGTTGGCCACCAGAGAATCACTGACCAGACCGACGTCTGCGTCGTCGAAATTAAGCGTGCCTCGAAGTTTTCGGGTACTGCATGAATAAATGAAGCAAATAACACATCAGTAATGTTATTTTATCGGTGAAAAGTTGTATTTCGTTTGAACTAAAGTCATTTCTCAATTTGTGCGCATCATCCTTATGTAGGGGTCATGCTAATCTTCGATGTATTGTTCCAGATGTCCCCAAAGGGACACGTTCGAACTAATGCCATTTGAGAAAATAAGTTCGAAGTTGTTTGGATTGAAGCGTTACCCATTCAAGCGGTTGTTTATGGCAGTGAGGTCTTTTGAAGGGCTTTGAAACGCATGAGTGCTCTCTCCAACGCAAGCGTAATAGCTTTTAGAACTGTGTGAAATCAACGCATCCATCTATACAAGAAGTTCAAAAGTTAGTTAAATATTGCATATATCTTAGCACCAAAGTTAACGACGCTGATTCATTAGTTATCGAAAGTAGTACCATAATAGACCACATTCATGGGAACTTATAATTGGTCACTTGTCACCGTGTCATGTGGCTACGAAAAAAGACTCACAGGATCAACGAAATTTTCAAATCAAAGATCTCACCCAGCTATATTCGGATGAAATATCATGTGATAATGACATGCCACTACAGAATGAAATATGACAAAAGCAGGTGCTACGGGTCCACTAAAAAATACACACCTGGCAAGGGTGTGACAAGGATAAGCAACAAACTCTCTCTCTCTCTCTCTCTCTCTCTCTCTATGTGCCACACAGTGACTGACGAGAATAATATTTTCAACTTTTTTCAAATTATTGATGGGACATGTATGTAGAACTGAAACATCAGCATAGTCGTGAGTAGGTGGCCATCGTAGGGTGATAGTGGGATTATCACATGCTATTTTATTAAGAATAAAATGATGTCTGAGATAGCCTGTGGGACTTGTAGCAATAAATACTGAATACTATCATGTATCAAGTAAAAAGGAAATAACTACTAAACTGAGGTAAACTATTTTTCAGATTCGACTGGGCAAGATTCGACATGATAAAGAAAACATTCAGATGATATAGCAAGCCATTCGGCAAAGTAGTGAGACAGAAAAGCAAATCAACTAGGAGTAGAAAGATATATTGAATGTATGAATCAACAATTACCTTTGATGATCTTAATGGAGAGACATAGACATTATGTGCTGAAGATACTTTCTTCGGAGACATATCAGGAAGACTTGGAAATGGAGATATCTTGGGTGATCCAGGGCATGGTGCTAGTCATAAGAAAAAAAAACAAGGCCAAGAGACATGTTTAGAAATGATATGCAAGATACTAAATTGCAAATAGGACATCATCAATACAGTCAAATTTAACTTGATTAGGTATACCATCACTATTGTTGTTTGCTTGAGGAACCCGCTCAGTTTTCATGATAGATCCAGCCGGGCCAATTTCAACAAGCAAAGGTTTTACGGAAGGAATAAATATTTCATTGTAGAACGTAATTATATCGACGTGATCCTGTCCTGATCTCTGAATCCAGAGCATTCAACGAGTTAGACTTCCTGTTACAATGTGCATTGATTTATTTAACTCTTTTTAAATAAAAAAGAGCCTACCCCGTTACGACGTGCTGAAGACCAATCGACAAACACATTTCGGAAGACTTGTGGTTTACATTGTGGTTGTTTCCTGTAATTGTAAATGATTTCCCTGAAAGTGAGGCTCAGTTGAGATATCTGCAGGCCAAACATTGTTTGAGTTAAGCTAAAATAAAGAAAATGAAAGGCATCCAACAACTCTTGCAACATTCTTTAGAGCAAACCTTAGCAACGCCATAGAAACAACAAAGGATGATCTGGTCAATGTGACGATTAAATAATAGTGATGCCTTTTGACTGAGTATCTGTTGGAAAAGACAGTAGACATTCTCCCTGATATGATGAGATAACTGCAACCTTTCCACCATACCGTTGACTCTAACAGCAGCCAACTTGATGATCTAAAAATTGAAAGTCGTATGCAGGACTTATTACCAAAATGGTTAAAGGAAAACAACACAGAAATAATAATCATACTTAGCTGTGATGGGAATGGGAAACAGAATTGTAAAAGCAGTGATGAAAGTTATGTCAAAGATGACCATCATAACTCATTACTCACTAGGTCGAGAGATCTCATATTTTCAACACGTGAATGAAAAATGTAGGTCACACACAACACCCATTCGCTCTCCAAACTTCCATCACATTGTTCGAGTAATAAGTCAAAAAAGTTGATCAAGTAATCATTTTTCTTACAACATCATCTTACTATCCATTAGAAATCACGAATTAGGATGTCCCAAAAATGTTTTCAAGTATCTTGACACCACATGTAGCCAGAAGCCCGCATCCTTTACCTTCTCACAAATCCAATATATCTTAAACATATAGTCAAAGACTGACCACTGCATTTTCAATCAAAAGTCAATCAGAAGATCATGTTTTATACCTTGCCGAAAAATATGTTAATTCCAGTTTCAGCACACGTTTCCCCACCACCTCCAGGATTAGGCCGAGTTGGACTGTAAGTAAAGTTATAAAGCATAAAAATAATAGTTATGGAGTAGTCAAAGGATTGACGTTTGAGCAGCAGCACTTGAAAGACACTGATTATACCTTGCAAATGCGGACTGTAAAGGAGGTGGCAAAAGCTTAGACTTAATACTACTTAAAGCAAGCAGACGGTCCTTCACTGGAGAAGTAAAGGAATTCCGTTCCACTAGCACACTTCTTAAATCTGTGCACAACCTTTTTGGTGACCTTATGTCCCCGTTCTGACCTGAAGGATAACCATAAAGATCCACGTTCATAATTTAGAGAAAGAAGAGAAACATATTTGCTAAAAGATGCAAACTTTTGGACTCAACAAACCCTAAGGTGATCAACAAACATTTCTGCCTATCAAGAATAAAAACATAAAAATTGGTGATTTCTATAAACGTTAAGATGACAACTAGACTATTTTCTCTACTAGTGCTGCATTTTACAAATCATGGTCATGTGTTAACCAATTGTGTTTTTAATAATATAAACCAAAGATGAAAACAAGTACTCAGTTACCTGGTAAACTCTCATGCTTTTGCAAATTAGGCATGGTCGATACCCCAATACCAGAAAAGTTAATTTGAACAGCAATTGCATCCAAAGATGGCATGGGTTCAGCTAATAAACTCAGACGATTTATTTCTGCAGCAAGGGTAGGTTTAGCAACAATCAGGGAGTTATACATTGACGAACCTTTCTCCCATACCATGCTCTCTAATAACCGTTCTTCCAAGGAATTAAGATGTCGCCTCAATTCTCTAGGAAGTGATTCTTCATGCCTAATGAAACTCTCTATCACCTTACTGAGGTCAAAAGCTGTAATGCCAGTTCTCTCCAATACTGCAGGAAACAACATTGTAACAGTCTTGTGTGTTGCCAATACCAATTCGGCAGAACAAGCCAACATACATCTGTGGAACCTCTCATTAGTCAGCAAAGAGGTCAAATTAGTCACATGAAGCATTTGAGACTCTGCTCTGCACATTGCTTCCAGAACCCTATAATATAACTTCAGTGCTTCTAATCGTCTTTGTTCTGCCCAGATGTTATCCATGAGGTTAGCACTTTGTAAATTTCCAGCTATACAGCGATCTCCTAGAGCACTATTTGGAAATATAGCCTCTAATATTATATGTGCCCTGCGAACTACATCATTAGTTACATCTCTATCACATGAAGTCAAAAAGCGTTCCATCTCTGCCGAAGGTTTTGCGGGGAGTGGAGAAATAACAGTTCTAAGCCACTTTGCCGTTGTCATGGCTGTGCTAACAGGTGTGGCAGCAAGTTTTGCATTGCCAGTATTAAGAGTGCCATTGGCATGAGAAGAAGGAGAGCGGAGTGGAGACATTGGACTTGTTATTGTCCTTGCAGGCGAGCACATTGAGTCAAACTTCCTCTGAAGAGATTTGAACCAAAATCATAATCCATACAGGAAAATAAGGAAATAAAGCACCAATGATGTAAGTAGCCATTGGATTAGAAAATTCGCATTACTCAAAAGAAAATACCTTGATGCCACTCATAGTAACAGCACCTGCAGACAAGCTACCCGACCCAAGTAAACTGTCCTCATCATTAACAAATACCCGCTCATCAAGCTCACCTTTGTTACGAATTGCATCTTCGTAGTCCTTTTCCAGAATTTCTAAACTGGATGCAAGAGATGACTCCTCCATTAAGTCTTCAAAGTAGATCAAACCCTCTGCATTAAAATGGAAAAGGAAAAAATGAAAATTTCCTGAAGGCCGTGAAAACATGAAATAGAGTGCCACTAATTCATCAAATGAAGCACACTGAAACGGACCAATGTCAATATTCTCCAAGGTTTTACTATTACACTCAGAAGCCAAACGTGGCTTCTTCTTCAAAATATCTTCTATCAAACTGTTTGTCTTCTCCATTACCTCCCTCAGTTCTTCCTCTGAGGTATCATAGACATTACAAAGTGATCCAAGCAGGTCCACTCCTTTTCCACCTTTCTTAACTGGACAAAATATAGACGAGATAAGCAACTATAAGTAAAATATAACAAAACCAATAAGGAGAGAATATTACCAAAGCGTTCAGAGTCAAGAATGTTGAAGCTTCTGAAACGAACGGGAACGTGAAGAATTAAAATAGCCTGTCAAAGAATTAACTACTTGTAAGATTGAGCGGTCGTTTGTGCAAATATCCATCATTACGTTGCATAAATCTGATATGGTTCTAGTCCACCGTAATTTTAGTGCCCTAATTATTATGTACAGATTTGATCAAAGAAAAAAAAAACAAAACTTATCAATATATCTATTTATTCTAACTAGATATCTTCCATTATCCCTAGTTACTTTAGTCATACACTCATAGAGGAATAAAACTCACCAAAATGGAAACCAAACCATTAGTGCAAGTCACCAAGTCCTTAAAACGACTGAAAGCATGTACACGAAGTGCCAAAAATAACAACCATCCAAAACGATGATAATCAGACAAGTAACCAGTAGGGCATGATATAGCTGGCTGCTTTTCAACATTAGCATCATTGGTGTAGAAGAATTCTCGGTAGACACGCTTATAGTACCTTGAAACATGGGCATGATATAAAAATTTCACGAAATCCGCAATGACTTACACAATGCAAATAAACAAGGAGAATAAAAGATGCTAATGAATCTTCCAAAGCACCGAGAAGAATACTAACTTGCTTAAGAGGCTCAAATGCACGAAGTTTGCCTGCAACTCCTTTGCCTGCTTAAATGAAAAGGACATGAGAAAAACCATAAGTGACGGCTTAAAGAAAATAAATTCTTGATTAAAAAAATACATAATCACATACTATAAAATAAAACCTCAAAATATATGCCTAAAATTACTGTACCTCTAGTCTATTCTCCCAGTCTGCACCGTGGAGATTACTTAAAACTGGACCAGCTTTAACAACAAACTGAGGCAGCTCTTTAAAAAATTCTACAATGCTGTATGACAAGCAGGATAACAAAAAAATAAAATAAAGTTTTAAGTTTATGATAATAGAAGCAACTACGAAGGGAAACAAAAACAGTATAAATAATAACGTACTTCAGCTTGCAAACTCTCAATATCTGGCATAAAGTAAAGCTATTATTCTCGGATCCCTGATCAGAACTCTCTGAATTCTTATCTCTCAGCCTCTTCACAGAATATAAAACAAAGGCAGACCAAAAACGTTCGGCTTCTTCAGCCTGTTAAATTAGAACTTAGTTAGATTTATGGGAACTTTTATTTAAAAAAAAAAAACAATATTATCCTCGAAGATACTAAAGAAAACATACAACTCCACTCCCAATTGCTGATATATTTGCTACCAAAAGGTGCTTTGTTTCTCTAAATAACTTCAACGCTTGATCAGAACAATTCTCATCAAGACGTAATCCATTCTGCAACCAAATTTGAATTATAGTTAAAATTGATGTAAATTAATCGACTTAGATAAATGGATAAATCATGCGTAGTAAAAAAAAGGGTAAAAAATTATAGTCGCGACTAGAATGACGTTTGAAAACGAGAAAACACCTGGCACAATTCTGAGAATTTAACTTCGACAGTGTCTGTTCCGCCATCTGTATGGCAATTGTTTGTGGCCAATGGCTTCATTTCCTCCACGTTTTCCATGAACACAACCCTAGCTGATACTCACAATGCATTCAGTCAATTAAAACTCAAAATTTAAAACTGTAGGAACAGATATTCCGTCGCTAGTAATTTGTGCGCCTATTTCAGTTCAAAAATGCGATGACTACAGTAAAAACCAATTCTCTCGTATTTTAAACCCCCGACATTCATCAAACAAGTAGGTCAGTTCACAAAAAGATACAAACTAATTATTAAACCAGCTCCTCCCTACATAATTAGGCCTATGGGAAGTTCCACAGCCGTTTTCTCAGCGAATCCACGACCAATTACTTCCAAATCACCTCTATCCCTCCCAAAACACCCGGATTAAAAAAAGAAAAATTTGTATCAAAGGACCGACTAGTAACCAAAAAAAAAATCAATAGTACGAAAAATCACCATAGCATTTGACGGCAAGGGAGAGAAAAAAATCACCTTAAAAACCACGAGAGAAAAATAGGAGCAAGAAGGCTGTGACAGGCTTGAGAAATGGAGAAGAATCGGTCGGATCTCTAATTGAACTCCCACCAACCTGCAGATCCAGTAAAGAAACCCTTCCAATGGCCGCGGAGAGTGAATCAAATGAGGATTGTTGAAGCGCGAAGTCTGAACCCTATCTTCTCTTGTTCTCTCTGAATTCCGTCGCCCCCTTCTCTCTCTAATATTTTTTGGGGCTTCTCACTCCTCGAAGAAAACCCTTTAGAGTGGCGTCGCGCGGGAAAAACAGCAACATGTCATGACACCATGCCCGACATACATACATACATGCCCCTCCAATGGGAGAGCGACGCGTGGAATACGTTAGGTTCTTTTACCGCCAAAATTTCCCACCGTTACGGGATCCGCTGAGGGGCGCTCGGGTGTGAAGAACCGGGTAAACGCCGTTACGGCGAGGTGACGGAATTTACTATTTTTCATTTTTTTTTTTAGCTGTTGATAAAAGATTGGTGTTGGTAACAGCGTCGGTATGAAGACGACCCACCCGTGTGATAGTGGGGGCCCATGGGCTTGGCCTTTTCGTACTTTAATGCGGCGTCGTTTTCGATGACGGAGACGGGAGCCATTTGGGCTTCGGTTTAACCAGCAGTCCATTCTCTCTCGTTCAGAACGAATTTCCAGTTTTTGCGAAAAAAAAAAGTGTGAACTTTTATATATTGCATTTTCCTGATTTGACTATATTTTAATTCATACCTTTTTTGTTTTCAAAATAAGTTCAAACCACGTCTTTTATTTTTATTATACATATATATATATAATTAAAATTTTAATCCCCAATATCTTATTCTTTTTAGGTTAAGATTCATATTCCTAAATTACTAGTTTTAAGATTCAAATTCCTAAATTACTAGTTTACGATGAGTGAGGTTAAGGATTCGAACTTAATATCTCTTTTGTCAATTTTTAATTATTGTTGAATTAAGTTCATATTAACTTATAGGTTAGAATTTTAGTATACCATATGCATTATAATTTCATATATTGAATTAACCCTCTTTCTTATTATATTATGGAACCATCCATGGGTTTTTTCTATCCTAATAATTAGCGTGTTATCTTAAAAGTGTATGTACTTAATAATTAACATGTTCTCCTAAAAATGTATGTGGATTTTTTCATGTTATATGTATGTGTGTGTATATATACACATATATATACATAGTTTGTCAAAAGCTTTAATAAGTCATTCGTAATGTTTTTACGAGGATTGTGTAGGTACGTAGAAATGTGGAAAAACAGTTTTTCAATACACGTGTAGGTTCGAAGGTTCAATTCGACCTCAAAATATATATATATAGGTATATTAATCATTGAATTATACTTATGTGTGACATGAATGTGAGAGGGGTATATGAAGTTCTAAGGTAGACTTTAATAACCAATGACTATTTCTTTTAATAGGTATGTGAGTGGTTTTTTTGTTTATATTTTAACACGTGCATTTCATGTATCTCCATTTACTTTGATAGCTTAGAGATCATAGTCCTTACCTATTAGATATCGTCCTTGATCCTACGTGAGGGCATCTATGTGGGAGAAATAATGAGTTATTTTTTATTTCATAGACAACAATATGAAATGAGATGGAAATAGTATATCCTATAGATTGACACATCACTCTAAGTATATTCAACTCGATTTTAACTATAAAAACTAGGTTAAAAAATACTTTTAGTCCTCATACTTTCAATAAAGTAACGATTTAGTCATTGAACTTTCAAAAGTAACTATTTAGTCCATATATTTTGAAATTAGTTACAATGTAGTCCCTATACCCTGGACTTTGAAATTTGTTACAATTTAGTCCATACCGTTAAAAATTAGGTTAAGAATTAACAGAAAATTGATGTGGCTGCCAACTAGGATTTGTGTGGACATGTTAATTCGTTGTGCGGTTCGGTTTAATTTGCGGGGGAAAATTTATAGCCGTCCTATAGTAGGGATAACTTTCATACTACTCCCACTTAAATTGTATGATGTGTAAAGAAGTTTTATCATTATCTAAATAAAAATATTTTTAATCTTATGTGGGACCCGCATATTTAAAGGTAAAATTGATACACTTTATCTCACTTTCTCCCTCTTGAATTAATTGTGTATTCTCTCCCTTATTAAATATTATTATATAAATAAAATTAATCAACCGTATCTCACATTTTTTCTCTTAAATTAATTGTACCTTCTCTCTTATTAGATATTTTAGAAATTATTATTTATTTATCTCTTCAATGTTATTTACATCTTCTCTAAGAGAAAAAAATGTGAGATACGGTTGATTAATTTTATTTATATAATAAAATTTAATAAGGAAGAGAATACACCATTAATTTAAGAGAAAGAAAATGAGATGGAGTGTATCAATTTTACCTTTAAATACGCGGATCCCACATAAAAATTAAAAATATTTGTATTTAGACAATGATCTAACTCTTTTACACATGACACAATTTAAATAGGAGTAGTATGGAAGCTATTACCAGACGACTAGAAATTTTCCCAATTTGCGGCCGGTACCAGTTTTATTCGATTTAGGATTAAAAAAGGGAAATAATGGAAATGTTGGAGCGATGACCTCGAAGAATCGATAATTACACCACCGGTTGAAGTTCTCGAAGAATGTTGGCGGAAGAAACTAGAGCATGATGCTGATTTTATTAGGTTCATTCTTCAGCTTAAATAATCGATTTCTGAAAAAGACGAGAATTAAATACATAATCCGATAATCTGTATCAATTTAAAATATGAGAATGAAATTTTAAATCTGATCACAGAGTTCATTTTCTCCCTTTCTTTCAAATCATTTTCATAATTCTTGAAAGATAAACAAACGGACTTTTTTCGTTTCGAGAATTGAAGAACACCAGGCGGCGAGAAGGCTCGGATCCGAAATCTCAATTCCACCAACTGATTTAGTCTCTCACTATCATTGTGCCATAAGATTGTAAATCGCTCATATATATTGTTCTTTCTTTGATTTTGGGTGAGGGGAAATTGAGGATAATGGGATGCTTCACGAGCCAATATCAGAAGGGAGAGAATTTTTCATCGTAGTGTTGACAGCTCCAGGAAGAAGACAGCAATGGTGGAGATTCCCTGCTGTCTATAATCTATAATCCATCTCTATAAACTCAAAAGCAGAGAGAGTTGTGAGGGTGGGGACGTTGAATCAATCCAATATTTTCATTCTTTTCCTTTTTTTTTTTTTACCCTAAATCGAATCAACCATGAACCGACTGAAAATCAAACCGAATCGCACAGCTGGACAATTAATTATTTATCCACACAGACATGACTGCATGTCATTTTTCTGATAATTTTCAACAGCAGAGACTAAATTATAACGAATTTCAAAGTATAGGAATTAAATCGTTACTTTAATGAAAATAAAAGAAACTAAATATGTTTTTTAACCTAAAAACTACTATTTAATTTGAACAATTACTTAGTTGGTTTTGTCTCGTAGACTTGAGTTTGTGGATTTCTCTCGTTAGACTTCCTAGTACCCAACAAGTCATTTCTTATCCAGCTGGACTTCTAAATTCCAATTTCATCAATTTCACAATTAAATAATAATAAATCTAAGTTGATATTAATAATCGAAATGAAACAATTTAATCGTAATTTTGATAATTAACATTATTTAATCTAACACAAAATGGAAGTGAGTTAAATTGATTTTGAAAGTTGTCAAACAATCTAAATAATTTAGGGGTGATTTCTTCAAGCACAATAGGTCACCGAAAATTTAAAATACTGTCGACCATAGCATAACTTAGCAGATAAAGGTGCATGTATCCAATTATAAGACTGAGAGTTCAAATCCTCACCCACATGTTGTAGTAAAAAAACACAATTTAAAATATTAAAACTTCCTAAACATAAAAAGTGATTTGATAATTATAAAAATATTTTAAAAAAGTATATATTTTTTTAGTGGTTCAATAACGTTTGATGATATCCATCTAAACATAGTTCAAATTGATAAGGCACTTTAATACACCATCTTAAAGATTGACAGTTTGATCTACTCGCGATTGTTTTATTAAAAAATAAAAAATAAAAATAGAAAAAGTGGGATGTGTGATTTTGAACCTCAAACTTCAAATGAATTAATATACGTCATTTACCACCAAGTTATGCTCATGCAACAAAAAACACTTAAATTGCTCAAACAAATATTTGTAATTACTTTTTAATATTATTTTTGTCCTAGTAGTGTTGGATTCAATGTTTTGATAGCATGGTACCAAGATGCTCGATACCCCAATAATCATTGTTTCGTCATTATCTGACCCCTGGAACTATCCATTAAAATATCAATAAGACTCGATGAACGAAATATAGAATCGAGTGCAAGTGGCAATCTAACTCCAACAGAAACCATATATCACCTCATGAATGATTGATGAGCGATTATTAGTATATTTGTGGACATGATCATGCAGTGCGTGAGAGTGCAACTCTCGATTTAGGGTGAATTTGCAGTGTGCAGCCCTTAAAAGTTGTAGATCCATTAAGTTTTTTCTTAACTGGTTGACCTCCAACAAACATTTGATTGGAATAAAAATTACATGATATTGATTATTTTATTTATAAGTAGTTTAAATCCACGGTTAATAATAAATTAGATCTATTATTACTTTATCCAATGAGATATGAAATGACTCATTACATTTTCGAAGCTTTATAGAATTTGACTTAGTGCCAAATCGAACATAATTCAAGTGGTTAAAGTACATATCTCTGACCAAAAGATCATGAGTTCGAACCCTCACCCTCACCATGTTGTATTTAAAAAAAAAATAGAGTTTGACTTAGTGTATGGATAATAGGGTCTATGGACATATTAGCCCATGAGATTGAGCTAATTAAGTAATTATACAAATTAAATGGTAAATTTAATAATTAAATGTGAGTGAAATAAGACTACTAGAATGTTGGCCAAAGTTTATAAAAATAGATTTATAATCAGGTAGAGTGATCCATCAATCTATGCGATGCACTATTTCTATCTCCCTTTATATTGTAATTAAAAGTAGCATCAAATCATATGAAATTTAGGGTATAAGTCAATTTAACTCAATTTGTTTTTATGTAAAGTTAATTTACCTATTGTGTTACCATATCCAACTAAACCAACTCTACTTTTCTTGTTTTTTTTTTAGAGAAAAAAAACTCTATTGTATTTGTGGGTCGATTACATCCACCCGTAATCAACACTATTTTAATCAATTGTACGACGTCAAACGCTAATTTGTCCAAACGTTTTTAATTGGTATTAAGATAGACATTAACACGTTCATTTTACTTCTTTAATATACATTATAAAAGTTTTAACTTTCAAACTTTGCCAACCAGAACATAATTCAGCAGATTACGGCAAATATATCTAACAATAAAATTGAGAGTTCGGATCCTCACTCCCACATACTGTATTATTAAAGAGGAAAAAGGAAAAAAAAAAACTGATGACATTACGAAGTTGATACCTTTATTGTTAATTTTAAAATAATGGCAACATAGAAAGACGAAGACAGAGTTCTGCACAAGGAGGGTAACATGATTTATTTTGAATTTTTGATTTTCATTCGTTTTTTATTCAATTTAGTCACCAGTATTAAAAATAATTAAAATTAAAATTTATTTGGTTTGATTTTAATTGAAATTTATGAATTTGGAGATATTTTTATAATCAAAATTAGCCAAAGTTGGAAGTGAAGGAAAGAATTGCTCGATTTGTGGAAGTGCATGATTAAATTTAACAGGTAAAAAAGGGAGTTAATTTAATCAAATATAAATTAAAAGGGATTATAAAAAAATAAAAAAGATTAAAGGGCGAAAATCGATTAATTTTATAAAGGAAAAAAGAAAAAGAGAAAAGAAGTAACAATTCCACAAGGAAATTGCAGGAGTACCCTTTTATCGCATTCTCTTTTATTCGTTCACAGGGACTTCGAAGTTCGAAGCTGTGGCGAGAGTCGACATGATTTCTGCAAGCTGATGCTTCAGTCTCAAGAACGCATAGGAATTTCTCGGCAGTGCATTTTTCTGAATCTTCGACATGGTAAACTTACTCTCTTCGATTCTGGTTTTGTTTTTGTTTGGTTTTCGTTCAAGCGTAAATTGTAGCTTGGGATTCTTCAGACCTTCTATCAGCAGTGTGGATGGATGGCAATCACTATTAATACATTAGTCTCAAATTGTCTTTGTGATTCTTGCTGGTTACGACACGGGAGTGTTTGTTTCAACTGATGATTTTGAGTGGATTTTTTTTCTCTTCTGGGTCGGGAGAATATCTGTTGTTACTTGTTAGGATTATCTATTACGATTTTCTAACTTTTTATGGGTTACCGGAAACTTTTTCTTTTTGAAGCGGGGGAGGAAACGTGGATTTTCCCTCTTTCTACTGCTTGAGGTTCTTAACCAGGCTGTAATCAACAAAAAATTTAAGTTAAAAAGGTTGTATTAAAGAAGATGAAGTTCTAGATCTCCCCTTTCCTTTAAAATCGAGCAGAGTTTGAAGGAAACTGAACCCCTGGCTGTAATATCAGCTGCAAACGCTGGTATTTTTTCATGAACAATTTGATCCGTGTTTGGTGATATACGGGTTTAGATGAGTTTTTTGGTCCTATGCATTTAGAACCAGAAATTTATCTTGTATTTAAATCAGTGTGTATATACTGCTCTCCCATCATTATACAGTCGTGTTCTTTTTTTTATTCAGGAAGAGTTCCGGAAGGCCATATTGCAAACGGTGCCACCAGAAAATTTTGCTCTGCAGACAGTTCAAGAAGTTATCAGACCTCAGGTAGCTACTAGCTACACTGTAATCATCGGACTACTTGTATGGCATATGCAAATAACATATCACAAGTTCATAGAGTATTGAATATTTTAGAGTCAGATATAAAGTGCAAATTTGACCAATAAATTTAGAGTTAGAAGTTTTTAGGTTCTGTGAGTGTTGGGGGCTCTGTTCTGGTTTGTTTTTTCTCTTTGGATTATTTTGTTTTGGTTGATCATTTGTTTGTGTTTGTGTGTGTGTGTGTGTGTGTGTGTGTGTGTTATTTTTTTGTTCTCTCTTTTTCAATAAGAGACACAAAGATTTCATTACTCAAAGAGTACACAAAAAAAGACAGGGGACATGGCATCTCCTCCAGCTTCCCAAGCACTCAAGAATTGGGGATCAATAAAGGGTCCAATTCAACAATAAGTACAGTCAAGCATGCTGGCTCCCTTCCCTCCTTGTCGTTTTCCTACAATCTTATTTTTCTCCCAGTAAAATTTTCCCATTTCCTTGGGAACCTTAAAGATGGTTAGAAATTAAGTAGAGATGTTTGATAAACCGCTTAGGTTTAGAGTTAATTGTGCCCTTTGGAGCATGAGGATTCCTTCCACTTGAATGATTATACGAGTGAACTAATGACCATGAACACCATTTTTTGATTGATTAGTTTTCCTATAAGTGGAAACGTCAGAATTTTCAAGATTGATATCATATTTCCTAAGGGGCTGGGGTAAATTGAGAGAGAATGGGTTCAAACTTATGATGGCCACCTACCTTAGAATAAATTTCTATGTGCTTTCCGGCACCAAATGTTGTAGGGTCAAGCGGCTGCTCCATGAGATTAGTCCAGGGGCGTGTAAGTTGGCCCGGACACTCACAGATATAAAGAAAAGTCATATTTCCTAAGTATGGAGACCGAGGTATTTGAATCGAGAGGATAAGAGATTTTTTACCCGTCATGAGCGTCCTTGGAGCATGTTTAGTCTTTGACTAGGTTCAATACCCTTTTTGGGGTGTCCAATTCTAAGGAGCTTTGTAACTATCCTTTGTCACTTATTCTTGTCGAGTGGAGCTCTTTTTTTTAAACTCCAGTTTTAAGTTTTATTTTTTTTTATTATTTTTTTATTTTTTTGTATAGGTTTCTTTTGTTTTTTAGGTCCATTTGTACACTTTCAGTTATCTTAATAAATGCTTTGTTTATTTAAAAAAAGAAAAACAAAATTTCAATATATATATATATATATATATAAAACAACTAAAAGTGTTTATTTTGTTGTCAGTTCTTATTATCAGATTCTTTTTAATTTTCACTTGACAGAAGCACACGAAATTGGCACAAGATGAAAATCAGTTGCTGGAAAATATTCTACGTCGATTACTTCAAGAATTGGTGGTAAGTTACACTATGAAGCTTCATTAATTGAGATTTAGGTTTCATTAATCATGCATATGACAATTTGGATATCATTCTTCAGCCTCACATTTGGATTTTCTATTACTTCTTGCAAATAAGTTTATTTTCAATTGGATATTGGTGCAGTCATCTGCAGTTCAATCAGCGGAGCCAACAATGCAGTATGGGATGTCTATTGATGACAAGGAAACTTCACAGGGTCACATTCCTCGTCTTCTTGGTATTACATATTCTTAGAGTCAAACTTTTTGTTGTAGCCTAGTGATCTGATTTTTAATTTTTTATGGTATGATTTATGAATTGGTGTAGGTTTTTTTTTGTTTTGTGCATTTAAAATAAGTAGTAAATTTGAATTATTAATTTATGACCATTCCAAATAAATCGATACCTTAGAAGCAGAAAAAAAATTCAGAACGAGATGACATGAAGATAAATGGAAGTACAAGAAAGCTGTAAGAAAATGTACTAGCATGAAATGAAGTCACCATATTCTTCTACATTATGAAGTTATAATCATAGGAAAAATGCCAAAGCCATTCAGCATCCTTCAATTTCTTTTGGAAGCATGAATGAGTGATCTTCTGTAGATAAAGTGGGAACCTACGATTTATTGTCATGTTAACTTGACAATTAAACCCACTTGCATCATGAGTTTCACGGACTCCATCTTTAATAAAAACTTGTATGCTTTTTCTTGCAACTGAGCACCTATACCCCATCTTTGATTGAAACATTGGATTCTTTTTCTTCAAATCTTTCTTTAATATTCAAGTTTGATGGCTGGGTTGTAACGCAAATTTTTGAACATTCATTGATGCATCTTCTTTTGGCAGTAGCCAATAATTATCTAGTTTTGGCCTCGTATTTTAGTTTGTCTGAAGATTTTACTGCATTGGAGCTGCATTAGTGATGAAAATGTTTATATCTAGTCTTGGGCACTTTTTAATCATTTTAATGCGTTCATTCTTGCCTTAGACATTGTCCTATATCTTTGTGAGAAAGAGCATGTTGAAGGAGGCATGATATTCCAGCTGTTAGAGGATCTGACTGAAATGTCAACGTTGAGGAACTGCAAAGATATTTTTGGTTACATTGAGAGTAAACAAGATATATTGGGAAAGGTTTCCTCTTGTTACCTGCACAAAACTTTTCATTTTTCTTTTAAATAAAATTTGAACCCCTATATTCTCTCTAACTTCATTTGCTTTGAAATGGCATGGCTTTTTTGTAACCAGCAAGAGCTTTTTGCACGTGGAAAACTTGTGATGTTGAGAACGTGCAATCAGTTGCTCCGTCGTCTATCAAAGGTACTATAATGAATTGCAAGAACCTGAGGAGGTTTTTTTTTTCTTTTTTTTTCCTCTCCTAATAAAAGAAAACAAGAACAAACCTTTCATTGATATCTAAGAACTTCCCTTTCTCCCTCCCAACCAACCCAATTTGTGTTAATAACAAACAAATTATAAATACAAAACTTGAAGGCCCAACAAGAGGCATGAAACTTTTCTAATTCGAGTACCTCTCACCAATCTTTTTCCTCTTTGTTAAAAATATTTGCTATTCCTTTCCAGCCAATTCTCCACAAAGTAGATTTGACAGCATTGAGCTATAGCTTTAGCACCTTGTTAGTTAATAATCAAATGGTTGTAAGCCCCTAAGGGGCAGCCGAGTTGGCAATAGCTTGGGGTCTCTTGGTCATACTGACTTAGAGGTCTCAAGTTCGAACCTTCTGGTGAACTTAATACCAAAAATCCTTGATGTTTCCTGGGTTCGAGTCTTGAGACGGGCGCGGGTGCCCCTGGGTATAGGGAAGCAAAGCTCCGAGTCCTAGTTATAAAAAAAAAAAATCAAATGGTTGTGTGATGAAATCTGAAAACACGACTGGTTGTCACCAGAACAAGCAAACAGGATACTGATTTGACAAAAAAAAAAGGAACATAAACACATACATAATTAATTTCTGTCTATAGATTGTTAAGCTTATCCTTAAGGCCAACTTATATTTATTTGCTCATAAAAAGAATATATGCAGGAAAATTTGTGTTCACTTTGATTCATGATCAACAGTTCTTATTAGAAAATAATTTTGCCAATCAGCAGATGGTTGAGCCATAGCTCTCTCTCTCTCTCTCTCTCTTGTAAAAGAATTAATTATGGTACAAATTTCTTGATTTGAATTTATAGGCAAGTGATGTGGTGTTTTGTGGACGCATTCTGATGTTTCTGGCACATTTTTTCCCTTTATCTGAACGTTCTGGTATGTGTTTCAGACACTCATCTCCATATTGTAATGTTATTTTTAATTTTTTTTTCATATATATTGTTCTCTTGATCTATTGTTGCAGCTGTAAATATAAAAGGAGTGTTTAACACCTCCAATGAAACAAAATACGAGAAAGAACCCCCTGATGGTATGCTATTGCAGCGTTTAATCTTTGCTTTGATGCCAATATTCTTTTCATTCTAGAAGATCAAAGTACTGGAGTATCTTTTGCTCCTTTCATGCTTTTATTTATTTTTAAATATAGAGCAAGACTCAAGCTTGTGATATTCCATTTCTTTGTTTTCAGGATTTTCTATTGATTTCAACTTTTACAAGACATTTTGGAGTTTACAGGTAATGTTGGAACATAAAGTGGTGGTCTGTGGGTGTTTTGGGTTTCTGGTTTGAGAAAATTGCCTCTCATCTTTGAAGCCGATTCTGGAAGTCTTGTCCATATAGAATTTCTCTAACCTTTTCATATACAGCCAGGATTGATCTTTTAAAATTCACTTGGAATTATCAATATTGTAGCAAAAAAAAGATTTCAGACCATGCTCGTTCTAAGTATTACAATGTTTTTAGTGATGTCAGTAGATGATATCTGAACATTTTTTTTTCTTCTTTCTATTCATATCAGCATTGTAAATAGAGGTTATTACGTAAGTACTAGTGTTCTTAGCCATGATAGGCAGAAATTATTGGTCAGTTTGAATTTTGACCGAATGAACATGCTCTTCTTTTAATTATATAGTTATGAATTTTTAGAAGTACATGCATAATACACAGTCTACTAATTAATTTCATTAAAATGGTTCTACTAATTAATTTCATTAAAATAGTATAACTATCTCATGGACACACCTTATAATATTTCTGGTGCTAATGAAATTTTTTTTGTGAAATTTAAATGTATCAATTCTTGGGTAATCATACTGAAAATTTCAATGTATATTCTTGTCCAGGAATACTTCTGCAATCCTGCCTCCCTTTCTCTTGCTTCCACAAAGTGGCAAAAGTTTACGTCAAGTTTAATGGTATGATATAGCTTTTTGTTCTTGTCTATTATTATTACTATATAGAATTAGCTCGTGTGATTTTTTTTGTCCTTTAACTTATATATTGTGATATGTTTTACTTCCCAAATATATATATATCCAATGAAGTGAATTTCTTTTGGATTTTGCAACATAGATCGTGTTGAATACCTTTGATGCACAACCTTTGTCTGATGAAGAGGGAGATGCTAACATCTTAGAGGAAGAGGCTGCATCCTTCAGCATAAAATATCTTACTAGTAGTAAACTGATGGGTTTAGAGGTAAGTTCAATCTGAATTGTGTGATTATTACTATTGCATTGTATAGCTAGTCTGGGGTTTGGGTGTCCCTTTTGTTGGCCTTTTTGTTGGTATGCCCTTTAGTGTTTTTTTCATTTATTCTCAATGGAAGCAGGTTTTCTAATAAAAAAATTTTGTATGAATATTACTTATGTTGCATTTGTTATCTTTCTTCCGGGCAGTTGAAGGATCCAAGTTTTCGACGTCACGTTCTTGTGCAGTGCCTTATATTGTTTGATTATCTGAAGGTAATTTGTACGATGTATGTTTTATTTTTTATTTTTTAAATTCTTATGCAAACTTGTTTCTATAAGTTTGAAGTATTACTAATTAGTTCTTTTGTTGCTATACCATAGGCCCCGGGAAAGAATGAGAAAGACGTTCCTTCTGAAACCATTGTTAGTACCATATTGCTTTTTTAAGCCGTTGTAGATGTTCCGCACTTCCACTATCTTACTTGAATCCGAAATTACAAAATTCCTTGTTGATTTTAGCCATGAAATTAATTTCTAGAAATTATTCCTTTTTTTTTTTCCCAAAAAGATGAATATTCTATGTTATATTTTGTTGATTTGTTTAATTGGTATTGCTTATCAATAATATTAGATTTATAGCCTATCATTGTGGTAGACCCCTTTGTTTTTCTTTCGGATGATAAATGACCTACTTAAAAGTAAAAACCATTCCTGGTTAAATGCTACTTTGCTGCATTTTTCACCCCTGTTTCACAGCCAACAAAAACTCCTGTGGAGGTGTGTATTTTTCCTATGAGAACTTTCCAACATCAGCGTTGATGTGTCGGGGAGTGTCAATTTTATTTTATTAACTATAACGTGATAGCTAGATGCTGATACTGTATTGGTTCAAGTAAAATAAACTTTTCATTTTATCTTTCTCCTTCTGATTCATTTTAACTAACATAAAATGGTTGGATACTTTTAGCCCTCAAGGGGTAGCTTGGTTGGCAAGGCTTGAGGTCTCTTGGTCATACTGGTTTAGAGATCCCAAGTTTGAACCTTCATAGTGAGCTTAATACTAAAAACGCTTGATGTCTCCCACGTCCGGGCCTTGGGGCGGGCACGGGTACCCTTGGGTGTAGGGGAGCAAAGCTCCATCTCCCAGTTATCAAAAAAAAAAAAAAGGTTGTATATTTTTCTTGGGGCGGGCACGGGTACCCTTGGGTGTAGGGGAGCAAAGCTCCGACTCCCAAAAGGTTGTATATTTTTCTTTACCATTGTTGTGAGATGTCCTTCAGTCCAATTTCTGTCAACTTTTTTTTTTTTTCTAATTCTAAATGCATATAATAATATATATATTTTCTAAAAAATTATTTAAAATTCAGAGAGAAGAAATTAAATCTTGTGAGGAGCGTGTGAAGAAGTTGCTGGAGGTGACACCGCCTAAAGGGAAAGAATTCCTTCAGAAAATTGAGCATATATTAGAACGTGAAAATAACTGGGTGAGGATTGTTTTCACTCTCCTGCTTGTGACATTCTTGTTTTAAGCAATGACAATTTATAGCTTAAATGTTCTCCCAAATGTACTTGTAGGTATGGTGGAAGCGTGATGGTTGCCCTCCTTTTGAAAAGCAACCAACTGAGAAGAAAACCAGCAATGATGGAACTAAAAAACGGTATGGATTCTAATTAATGGACATAATGCACTCTCAAATTTTTGGGCGTGGTGGAACCAGGTTTCAGTTTTGTGTGGGCTAAATGTGTTTATAAATATTAAGGTTTTGAAACTAGTTTAGACAGAAGTTATCAGTATCTTTAAGTTGAAAATATGGAGCACTTCTGTTTCCTATTAAAAAAAAAAAGAAAAAGAAATTATGGAACACTTGAGGAGACGAAACATTGAAAGCTATTTTTTCAAAATAAGTTATTTATTCTCCATCTTTCTACAAACATTATCTGAATAGTCTTCTAGGAAAGAAATTATTTTGTGAAAGAAGGGTAGAAAGATGATCAAGCCGTAGGTGACATCATTTTATATAACACAATTCATGAAGGAAAAAGGAAACAATTTGTTGCAGATGTACATCAACAGGAATAATGACAATTTAATTTAGGAAAATACTGATTATTTTCTCTTATTGAAAATAAATAGAGAAAAAAATTGCTTTTCTTCAAATAAAATTAGGTCTAATTTTATTCTTTGGATAAGAGCAAGCCTTTTTTTCTTAAACAGTCGAGAAGTTCAGATTACCTATTTGCATATTTTCAGTTTCATTACATCCCTTGTTTCTTATAAAGAAAAAGGTCTAAAATGTTTGATGTTGAGAAACTTATAGGATATTACTATTTTATGAAGGTGACCATTAAAGTTTTATTACCATGATTTTGAATGGATTTATATTTGCGACTCCCAGGTTTATTTAAAGGGATCTATAGTTAGACGTTCGATTGTCTGATGAATTGTTTCCATGACATTCCATATTTCTCAATTTACATGATTGCATGTGCAGTTGGAATAACTATTGATGTATTCAAGTGAGGAGTCTTTTATCAATTCATTGAAAAATGATACAAAGCAGCCCAAAAGAGGGAAGGCTGGATAGGGAGACGTAACAGCCACGGTAACAATCTAACAGCCATTTTAACAAGTTACCTGCTGTAAATAGACTAACAATAGGTTACCGGCTGTAAAATAAAACCTGAAACCTATTAAACTTACAAGAACTTACCATAAAGTAATATAAGATCAAGATTACAACCAAGATCTAAAGAACTGACAAGAACTATTCAAGAGGGATGTTCCACGTCAACTATGGTCTTCCCCTTTTGATTTTAGGATGTCTAGTCATACTGTTTGCTGTGAAGACTTTTATACATGCATATATACAATATCATGTTTGAATGAATAGGTTGGTTCTTGTTGATTTTTTTCAAATGCTGAAAAATGATAAATATTAAGAATTGAGGTTGGTTCTTGGGGTTATCTTATTTTATTTTTTCAAATTCAATTTTTTTTTGTAATTATCTTATTTTTTTATTATCGAAAGTTGAGGTTCCTTTTCGTAAGTTTTTTGTTCTCCCCACCTTTTGGCTTTGCCTTCTTTTAGGTGGGCCCTTTTTGTAGTCTTTTATTCATCTTAATGAAGGTCGGTTTTCTATTGAAAAAGTGATTTCCATGCCTGCCACTGTTATTCATCGGTTCGCCTTAAACTTTCTCCAGTAGGCCAAGGTGGAGACTGGGGAATAAAGAACTCTCTCAATTGTGGAAGTGGGCAGATCAAAATCCGGTGTGCAGTTGTCCCTTACCACTGGTTATTCTTGCTAGGAATTAATATTTAACGTATCTATATTCTATAGACTATAAATACTGGCAACATTTTTTATTACCTCAGAATGCCTTGACTGATCCTCAACGTGTCCGTACTCCTGCAATTTCAGAGTATTGGAAACCCTTGGCAGAAGATGTAAGCATATTAAGCACCTTGTTTTACACTTTGAGTTGAATAATCATACTGTTACCCATTTGTTCATTTAATTTTCAAATAAAAAGTAAATTACTATTAGGTTCAGTTGATCTTTTCCATTGCAAAAAAACTACATATATATTGCACCTATTAGGATGAACTTCATTCCTTTTGTGTTTCAGATGGATGAGTCTGCTGGGATTGAAGCTGAATATCATCATAGAAATAATCGAGTAAGTTTTGGTTCATAGTATTGAATTCATTATCATGTCTTGCAGCTGTTAAATTGCTTAGGGTAGGTGGGTGTTTAGGAGAAGATAAGATATCAGATAGTATAAAAACTGTTTTAACCACATTTATAGCCATATGATCTTAGCTTTCTTCTTGGCGGGATGGTCTGGACCACATCTACTTTGTTGATACATTTCAAAAAGTTCAACAAGTGCCAAGATTTATTTATTCTATTGCAAATGACGAATGAACGACCACTCAACCTAAAAGCTTAAGTTGATAGGCTGAATAAGTTTAATTCATTTATGGATATCTAACACTTCCCTTCACTTGGGGTTAGATAATTACATAAAGGCCCAACAAGAGGAAACCATTATAAATGGGGAGGAAACAACAATATAGGAGTTCGAACACAAGACCTCCCGCTCTGATTGGATGCTAAGGATGAATAAACCACCACTCAACGCAAAAGCTTAAGCTGATGGGTTGGGTAAATTTAATTCATTTATGGATATCTAACGTCTATTAATCGAAGAACATACTTCGATAAAAGTCGTATCATTAATTGTAAATCTCTTAACTCCGTATTGTTTGATATAGACTAATGAGATAACAACTCGACAATTACATTACTAATCATTTGGTATGTTTCTTCCTGATTCAGGTTTATTGCTGGAAAGGTCTTCGGTTCTCAGCTCGACAAGACTTGGAGGGATTCTCTCGAGTATGGTTTTAAATTGAATAAAAATTTTTAGGATTCGGTCTAATGAAGAAAATATAATCCTGATGAGTCAATGTGCAATTACAGTTCACCGACCATGGCATCGAAGGAGTCGTCCCTTTGGAACTCCTGCCACCTGATGTACGAGCCAAATACCAAGCTAAACCAAATGAGAGATCTAAACGTGCTAAGAAGGAAGAAACAAAAGGGTCTGTTCGTCAAGTTGAAGAAAATCAGGTAAAGTTCAGTTTACATGCATTTTAGTCATACAAATCAAGAAAAAGCCCTTCCGAGGTAATGTCAGAATGTTTTTACTGGGTAAGCTGTGATCTCTATGGAGATTGTGTATATGAAATAACGTCAAAATATTGTTGAACTGTAAAACTATGGTCGTGGGGTCTTATGCACTTAAGTTTTCATTTTAATTTTTAGTATTGATATTCACTGCAGAAGTTATTATTTTCTAGGTTGTTTGTAACATTTTCTATAATTATCTTACCTATGGATTTTGGCAAAAGATGGCAACACCAGCAAGTGAGAATGATGGTGAAGGAACCAGAAGCGACCTTGATGGGCCATCAGCAGCCATGGATGTCGATACAACTGTAGCTGCTGGCAATGTATCTCAAGGTGGTACTCCAACTCCAGATGAAAATAAACAAAGCTCTGACACAGATATTGGTCAAGAGTCAGGCCAGTTGGAAGCTGACGCCGAGGTAGAGCCGGGCATGATTGATGGCGAGACGGATGCAGAGGTTGATTTGGATACTGCAGGTTGATTTGTGCGGCAGCCCTTCCATAATATCTAGCAAGGTGCATATTTTCTAATTGACTAATTCTATTTTGAGGGAATTTTCGGTCCCCCTTATAGTGGCAAATTGACCACAGTTTTAAAATTTTGCATGTTTTTCTGGTCTTTCAACTACTGTTGGTGTATTAATCAATAATTTATGTTCTACTTTCCTGGTTGTTCTGAAATATAGAAGTTTGAACTACACCGGTTCGAAGAATAGGAAATCAATAAATTTATCAACTGTTTAGAGAAATATAATATAAGTAGAGGAATATTGAAGTCTGCGTCCTACTTCTGTCGATTCTTCTTTCGCTTTCTGTTACATCTACTATTCAGGGAAATGGAACTGCCCTTGATATCGACATTATTTTACACCAAAATTTCATCCCTTTTTGTTATTTATTGTTGTTGGTGATGTAAGAGCAAGTTTGTGGTTTGGTTTCTCTGATCTGATCACATCCTTCAACACTAAGTTCGCTGACATTTTCTGTACTCGTTAACCCTCTGGCTGACCTCTCATGTTTTGACTGTAGGAAATATGATCATCTTCCCTCCATAAAAAGTTGCTGTGTTGTGTTGCTGATTCGGCATCTACCGAGGCTGCTTATACAATCGAGTTGAGGTATGATTTTGACATTGATGTTCGACCTTTCATGTATGGCTTAATGTTACTGCATTTGTTTGAAATACAAGCCCGTCTTCACAATGTCTAACAGTTGCATACTAACAAATTTCAGGATTAGCATGATCAAGAAGGGATTCTAAGTTATCTTGTCATTTAGTCGAACTATATCAGAGGCTAATGAGGCCGAGGCCCTCTGTAGACGGTAACATAATCTATTATAGTTCAAATTTTCATACAACCATTCTTACTTATATTAATGCTTCATTTTAGGCGTTGTGTTTCTGTTTTACCCTTATTTATTGTGAGCGAAGCGAAATTGAAGTTGAGGACAGTCTAGATGAATCAATTTATCCAAATGCTGCAATGTAGGGTGAGTGATTTGAACTCACGATCTCGTGGTTGTAGATAGATGTCTTTACCAATTGAGATATGTTTATGTTGGCTACAACTAAAGTTATTTCATAATGGATCTTGAAAGAACATCTAATATGTACGTTGCATATAAATTAATCTGTCGAGTAAATTAGGTGATTAAAACTTGAAGTGAACATGTGGAAAACACTGGACTGCGTGATCTCTTCCTCTCACACCATTGCAAAAACGTTGTATGCTACCCACACGTTTAAGAAATAAATTTTTTTGATAAATGTATTATTTCGTTATGAACTCATTTTCATTTTTCTTAAAGTCAAGAACCTATAATATATGAAAATTATATAATACTGTAACAATAATTATACAACATTTATAATGTGTTAATAAAATAATTAATAATATTTTAGATTGAACTGAATATTTAGTTGGTAGTACTATTAGCTTACAAATATATTACTAAATATATTTTCAGTAAATTTTTAAATTAGATTCAATCTTTAAATTTGCTATCAAACACGTTTTTTAAAAAATTAATATTGAAAGCATGAAATATAACTTTACTTTTCATTAAATCTCTTGTTTTTAGATTACTAACCAAACTCACCCTAATACATGAATATGTTTAGAGCTAATTACTTGTCGCACGAAAAGTGATGGGTCGAAGGAAGATTCATTCCATTAGGAAGTAAATTAATGTGTTGTTTAGTGTGAGACACCACTTCCAAAATAGTAATTTCTTTTTAAGTTTACTAAAACTGTTTGAAATTAAAATAGAAATGATAATGTAGAATATTTCTCTTATTTCTACCTAATCCAAAGTAAATATTATTTTTAATTAAAATAATAATGACTTTATTTTATTTTATTGCTATTTTTATTTAAACAACTCTCATTAATATAAAAATATTATTAAAACTTATTGTTAGATTATTTAATGATCATCAATTTAATGTTAACAGTAAATTTAAATAATTCATAAAAAAATTGAAAATTTTATAATATCCTATAATAAAATCATTAGTATTATATATGAAAGGAAGGAGAAAAGTAAAATTGTAAACCAATCGATTAAAAAATTATGAATTTTATTAATAGATTAGAGAGAAATAAATAAAAAGTAAAAATTAATTATTGAAAAAGTGTGGAAGCAACAAAGTAAAAAATAAGAATGAGATTGAATTGCAGAAATAGACTAGGGGAGAGATTCACAAACTGAAGTCCCACAAATTAATTTCATTTATATTGTTATCAAAAGGAAATGAAACTTTTCGTCCCCATTCCTGAACTTCCATTCTAAATTGGACCAAGTTCGATATAGTCAGCTCGATTATAGTCGCCTCAAGTAGACAATTCGGTTGGTCGGTTTTTTAGCTTCGACTTCGGTTTTCGGCTTCGGTTACAACCTCAAAAGAACTCAATCCAACTGCTTACACTCTTCATGATTGCATATGCAACAGTATGAAGCCATAAACACCATCCAATAATATGCAATTTGCACAAGTAAATACTCAAAGTGCAATGCATATTACAATAGGAGCTAAGAAGTTATCCATCGAACCGAGTTCTTACTACGAAATCATTCAAACCACCACAAGTCAAGAAAACATGTTAAACGATTCCAAATCATCCAACAGCCATTCAATTCTAGCTAAATCCCATTTCCCAGCCAAAAAAAAAAAAAACAGGAACAAGCTCATGAATACAATTACTAATTATCCCGTTCAAGCTTTCATTACCTTACCAAACAGATTGGGCAATCACATAGTACAATATGTCCACAACTTCAGTCATAAAGGATTTAACATAGAACATAACACTTGAAGAACTTGATGTCATTTCTGCTTCTTGGTTGGAGTGGGGACAGCCTTCTAGTAAAGAGAGTAGTGTTACAACTCTTAGCTCCTCCAGAAGTAACAGCATGTAAGCTTTGCTATGCTAGAAACCTTATCATGCTCTCTGTAAGAAAATTATGTTGAGGGATAGATAAAATATAAATGGAGAAACAAAATGCTGGTTGGCATGTACTAAAACTTCACCTGAGTAGGGAGGTACAACTTAAACTCTGGTGGAAGCTCCTCCTCTGAATACAAGCGGTCCGCAAAATATATCCTCCTCAAGCGGCAGTTTGCATGTACCTGAACTCGCAATGTCTCGACATAGTTCGTACCATATGCCCTCCTGGTAAAGTCAGCCAGATTTAGCTGGATATGGTTCCAACCTTCATCCATCCTTAGCGGCATGGTGCAGATATATGGCTTAACTCTAGTGATAGCCTACATAATAGAAGAGACATATGTCATCGTCATACGTTTTAGTCATAGAATTATCATCACAGTTAGCAACAGCATTGTCTGAGACCGAGGAAAAAGATTCCTACATCCCTCTTAAGCAAAATGTCACCGTATACAGTATCACCCATAAATAGATGCAATAGTAACTAAAGTCCTTCGATGACCGAATAGTTCTTATGTTTAAAGGGAGTAAGTGTTCATGCATGAGTGTGCATTCGTGAGAGAAAGATAGAGTGAAAGAGCTTGAGTAACAGCAGCTAAAAAAGGTAGACTTACACACTTGAAAATTAGAAGCCCGGAAGCGTCTCCTGACATTCTTATCATCCAGAACTTGAATCTCAAAAGTAAAATATTTCTTGAGATTCTTCACGATTATAACCAAGAATGGCAATTTTATACCCAGTGTAGCAGCTGGGTCCGCAGGGCATGTTATGTAGGTAGACTGTATTTTTGATCCAACAATTTCAAGAACATTTGATTGGATGTCTTCATCCTGGGGCCGTTTGATGTGGCCATTAGAAACTGCTAAAAAGGAAAAGTAACAACATTATAAGCACTCTTTTAAACATTGGAGTTTCTCCGGGTCAAGAAACTCAAAGGGTTAAAACTATAAATTCTCACCAAGAACATTGATGCCCTAACTTCATTAGTATATTTTACAGTCCCACAAAATCCAAACAAGACCTACAATGCCCTATAATCCCAGCTAGAACATCAAAGAATTTCTACATCACAAGAATATGAACTGAACAAGATGCCTAAATTTCTAAGTTATGGAATAGAAGTCCTAAATAGACTACCAGTAATATTCTCCATCATCCATTATTTAAAGCATTAGGTCAAAAATCAAAATAGTAACGAACATCCATATACCGTCCTCTCTTTTAGAGATTACAAATACTATACCTTTCTATTTGCAATATGAAATGACAATTAACATTTGAGGGACTCCTGCTATAGCGAACATGGAATAAGAGCTTCTCGTTCATACAAACTATACAATTATAAGTTTCAAAGTTGTCTCTCGTACAAACAATCAACCTCAAAATCAAGTTATACCAATTTCCACATACCGTTCCAAAGTTAACTGCATAATTGAGTACCTCCACCTAAACTAACACAACTAAATTGGGATAGTATAATGAACAACTGAGCTTTCATTGCTGCTTCAAACCATTCAAGAACACCATAACCACGTTATCGAACACCAAACATGCAAAATTTAATGTGAAGCAAATGTAAAACAAAGACATCAGTCAGCAGATGAACAAACTCACCTTCTTTGTCCCATATCTGAAGGGGTTTGCTCCTACAGAAAAAATGGGTACACAAAATAAAACAAATCCTCAGTACCTGGAATTGAAAAAACAACAAATTCGGTAGATTGTATTTGTAAGTACTAGCGTTAAGAAATTTAAACATACCCGAGGCTATATAATATAGAGAGGAATCCGGACTGAAACGTATTTTTGAACATTGTAAGTCAATCAGCTACACTTCTCAAAGCTGCAACGAAATGAGGAACCAACTGAGATAGATAATTTCATCCAATACCTTCTGTTTATAAACACATTTAAACATTAATAAATAAAACAATATTTTGTCCTTTTTCAGAAGAACCCAGAAAACAAACTTCCATTGACATGAATGGGAACTGGAGAAAGAGTATAAAATCCCCAAGGGCGAATGCTGTTGGGATCCAGCGATCAAAAACCACGGAAGGTGAAGAAAGGAAGAGGGAGGGGAAAAATGAAACTGAATTCAATGATCGAAAACCAGCAAAACCCTAGGCGGTACACCGGGAAGAGTTTACTGTATCGATGAAAACATAAACGCCTTAAACGAAGGAAACAACGAACATAACGATCCGTGGATGCATAGAAGATGGAAGAGTAAGATCGCAGACCTGTTTGGTTGTCGGGAAATTCAGTCGCGATGAGAAGAAATCGCCGGAAATGAGACGAAAGACGAACAGAACAGGCTTCTTCTTTTTTCTTTCTATAATTTCCCAGCTGCATTTGGGCGCCCTGTGGACCATAGATTGGGCTCCATTGCGAAAGCCCCAAACTCAATGTCTCGGTTTAGGGAAAATTACTCAAATTTAATCTCTTTCAATTTTTGCCCAAATGTCTTTTTTTTTTCTTTTTAATTAAGAATCGTTTGAAAATAAAGGAAAAAATTAGAATCGGTAGGTAAATTCGGGCAAAAACCTTGGTGCTAAATCCACTCGAATAGGAGTGGCAATCTCGTGCTCATTTAAAAAAACAAAAAAAAATCGGCCACTTTCTTCGTTCATCCATCCACGTGTACCAATGTTCTAAGTTCGCCATGTAGTTTTCACTTTATAGAATAAATTCGTCGCAAAAAATTAGAATCAGTTGGCTTATCTCACATCAAATTTAGTCCAGTACACGGTTAATGTTTATAAACCGTCAATCCAAACATGATTAAGTAGATAATGCACCTATTAAATGGTTTGATCTCTTATTCTCATAATACGAACCTAATTTAGTTAACTGCAGAAGGTGGATTTCACTAACAATAATGATTATGCCCACTGTCAATCAATGTCTTTCCTTAATTGAATCATAAAACAATTTTGGAGGAAGGATAAGACTACTCAATTCTGCTTTGATTACGATAATAATACTTTTTCGAATCGACATGGCCTTTACCACATCAACTTTGAAGGAGTCTGTAACAAATATGCCACATGTTGTATATTCTAATATATTTATTTTTTTGCCACGTGTTCTATATTCTATTTTTAAAAAAAATGTAATTATGCATTGTAACAAAAGTGGATAGAGAACTTTAATATATAATTTATGGCAAATTAATTAATCAATATTGTTTCAAAAAGCTATTATTTACCATGGTTGCGTGATACTTTGTTAGTAAAGGTGGAATGAGTGTTTGGAAATGTTTTCTATTAGAATTATTTTAATTTTAAACACTTTTATTTTTGTTTCACACCTTAAAAAAATACATTTGAAATTCAATAATTTATCACAAACGTAATTTAAGGTGCTTAATTTTGTTTCCCATTTATTTGAAAATTACTTTAGAATAAAATATGTGATTTTATCTAAAAGTATTTTAATTGTTATACCTGTTGATTGATTCTACATATGATATATTAAAATGCACTTTACAAATTATTTCTCACAGATTACTTCAAGTGCTTTTATTTATTTTTTATTTGAAAAAAGGTACTATCAAATATACATTTATATACTTCTCAATTTTCTATTTATATACTTCTCAATTTTCTATGTAGTTTCTCCTATTATACCTTGCCAAAAGTACTACTAAATAGTCAAAGTGAGTACAGCTCAAAAGTAATTGAAATATATATTCAATCATAAGGTTGAGAGTTCGATCCCTCATCCTAAATGTTCCCTAAATGTTGTACTAAAAAAGCACTGCTAAATACAGTAAAAACCTTATATTGCTTTTGAGTCTATTGATGGTTTCTTTATGATAATAAAATAAAATAAAATAAAAACACAAAGACTACTTTACTACCAAATTGCCATTTGCCAGCTGGCACCAAACCAACCCACCAAAAAATGGTCATATATAGAAAAATAGAACTAGCCCTAGAAGTTAACCAACGCCAACTGGCACGCCGGAACTGGAACTCGAGGGGGAAAGAAGAAAGCTATGGACGTCGCCGTGCGGCGGCCGTGGGCGTGCCGCTGCCGCTCGCCGGCCTTCCTTCTTCCCAAGTTCCGCCGCCGAACTTCGCTCCGACCGCCGCAATCCACTCCATTTCCTTATTCTTCTCGCCTTTCCCTTTCTGCTGGTGGTGCGTCAATTTTAAGCTTTTTTTTTTTCCTAATATTGTGAGTTTTTTGTCTCAATTTTTTTTTTCGTTTTTTTCTTAGCTATTTGTGGGAATAGAATTGGAGCAATTTTATTTGCAATTCCTGAAGCCGAAAGCCACGTGGGCGTGGAGGAAGTGACAGATTGGCCGATGCTGACGCAATTGCCAGGTATCGGCTTTTATCCCTTCACAGCTGGTTCCCATGAAATTTTGTTATTTAATTTCCCTATGTTGATTTCATTAAATTTAATCCTGAATTTATATTTATGAAAATTTAAAATCTTCATATGTTATATTTTTCTTACAAAAATATATAATTGTGGTTTGACAAGACTAGATTAGGGTGAAATAGGGAATAGTCATGGGACAAGGAAGTTTTTTCCATACCCACGATATTTCTCGCGAAAAGATTTTTCCCATTTATTTTTTAACGTTTAAACTTATTTTTCAATTGAATATTTTTTGGGTGGATAGAGAAAGTATACATGTTAGTATGTATATGTGTGTGTATATATAAGTAAGGCAAGGCGGAGAATGAGGACGGAGATAATCCTTGTCCCCATCCTTGTTTAGGCGGGAAAAAAAACTTTCTCCATCATCGTCCCGCTGGGAATATAAATGGGGATTTTTTGCCCCCCATTTGAAAAATGGACATCCCTATGATAGAATTGTAAAATTTTCTATAAATTTTCAATTATGATATTTTGGAGAACAAGCGAATTATATATAAAAGGGACATTTTCTTCATTTAAACCTAATAATTAAACCACCGTGTGAAGATTAAAATTTATATCTTAAAAAAAATGAAACTAATATCTTTATTAATTGAGTCGTGCTGACAGTAATATGATCATATTTTAGAATATTATTAGAGGTTAAATCACAATTTTTGTCTCATACTTTAACTGTTGTTTAAGTTAGTTCATAAACTTTTAAGACTTTCGTTGTTGTATTTTATTTAAATTAAAACTTATCATATATATCAATTATTAGATACTAACAATAAGTTAACAAAGTTATATGTGATATGATAAAAACTTACACGGTGATGGCATGACAAAAATCGTTTTTAAACTTGTAATTAGGTTAAGTTTACGACTAATATTATTTTGTAATGCAATTGATAACGTTTATTAAATGCCAACTAGAATATAGTTCAGCGGGTTAAGACATATATATCCAACCATGAGGTTGATAATTTGAATCTTCATCCACGTGTTGCACTAAAAAAGAAACAACACTCATTAAATTTGGATTTAGTCGAAGTCAGTTACGAATACCTTTTTTTAGTTTAACAATATGTTGGTTGACCATGAGATTAAAAATTTTAATTTTTTAGTTAAAAATATATAATTTAATCAATGAGTTACGTTTAAATTGGCTACAAATAATCTATTAAACTATATATTCTTTTATAACTAATTTATATTGTATAATATAAATATTGATTATAACTTATAAGACATGAACGGTGACAAAACAACTTCTAAAAATAATTTAAAGCTAAAATTACCAGGATTAAATTAATTTAATTCTTATGATTTAAGCTGAATTTTGTTTAAATCTTTATAATTTTAAAAATTTTAGTCGAGTGTAGCTCAATCGATTAAGGCATCTATTTTCGACTAAAAAATCGTAGTCGAACTCACCCTATATATATACTAGAAAAATGTTTTAATTTAATATTTATGATTTAAACTTAGTTTCAATATAATCCCTGCACAAAATCATCCACAGACTATGTCTTTTACTCACTAGAAAATTCACACGAAATATTCCACAGACTATGTCTTTTACTCACTAGAAAATTCACACAAAATTTTATATTTCTTTCTCCATCTTCAGTTATAAATATAATCAATTAGCATGATCAACATTAACTCTAAATAAGAAGTGTATGGGTAGTAATAGATATAGTTTTCAATGTTTAACCCAAATCATAATTACTAAGGGTATGTTTAATAACTATTTTTTGTTTTTTGTTTTTAAAAAACAAAAAACTTTGGTAACCATTTTTAGTTTTTAGTTTTTAAAAAGTTAGAAAATTGAAAATATATATTAGAGAGAGAAAATTTTATATAGAGTAGAGATGACAATGGTGTGGGTGCGAGTGAAGATGCTCTCCCCCATTCTCGGGCTCGTGAAAATTTTTAGTCTCTGTCTCCACTTCGTTCTTGGGTCCGAGAGATGTTCTCGAGAAAAATTATTAGTTTTTTAATTGTTTTTAATTATTTTTAGAATTTAAGTATAAAAAAGTGTAATAAATATATATTAATTATTAAAAAAATGGAATCGGGGACAGGGGTGGGACGTGCATTTTCTATTTTTGAGACCCGACCCTGCGGAAATTTTTGTCTTCCCTAGAGACATGAAAATAGAGATGTAAATAAACTTTTGGAAGATAAATTTTAGAGAGATAAATAAAAATATTTAGAAAAAAGTGAAAGAAAAGTTAAAAGACAAAAAGAGAAATTTTTATGGAGAAAAAAATAAAGTCGAGAGAAAAAGACATGTTAAAGAAAAAAAATAAATTATAAAGAAAGAGAAAAATATAATGGAAACAAATTTAGAGATATAAACCAAATTCAAAATATAATTTTTATAGAAAATAAATAAATCAAAGTTACATTGAACGAGAAAATAAAATATAGTTTTTAGAGGAAAAATAGATTACGAAGAGAAAGAAAATTTATAAAGTACGAAATTTTAGAGGAAAAAAAGTTATGAAAAATAGTATTTGTAGAGAGAGAAATGAAACTGGTTAGGGATAAATTTAGAAATAAAAAATTTAAGAGTGAAAAATAAATTTTTTAGAAATAAATATGAAAAAGAAAAAAAATTGAGTATTAGAAAAAAAAATGAGATTTTGAAAAACAACCACCGGTTTTTGAAAACTAACTTTTTTTTTTTTTGAAATTTACCTACAATTTCAAAATGATTTTTGAAAAATAAAAAACCGAAGATTGAATTGATTATCAAACAACCTTGTTTTTTAAAAACTAAAAATCAAAAACCAAAAATAAAATGATTATCAAACGAGCCTTAAATTAAAACGTTTAAAATCATACATATTTAATCACTAAATTATTAACTTTAAAAAATCTACATTCTGTTATTATTATTTTCAACATTCTGTTATTGAACTAAAAAATTATAAATTATAAAAATTAAATTAAAATTTGATAACTACTGGAATTTAATTGAAACTATACTTAACCCTTATGGAAAAATTTCATAATTTAAGAAAATATAATTTAAATTTTAATCACACACGTGGTTCCTATTTTGATATATTTTTTTATGAACGTTGTTGACCCTTTTTTTTTATATATAACTGACTTTGTTTCTTTTTATTTCTCAAGGACCGTGATTTTTTTTATTTTTTTTTCTCTGAAACGACGTGATTTTTAATTATTAATGACTAATACGACTGTCGACTAAAAATAAAGTAGCACGGGGCCACATGCAGTGTAATTGTGTAACACCCCCCAATTAAAATTTCCTCCTGGGCTGGGCCGACGTGTCGTCATATGATTACAAATCGTTTCGGTGACAGCTCAGCTACTCAGACTGTACTTATCAGTTATGAGAGTTATCAAAAACTATTCGCCCTTACAAACAAAAAAAAAAGAAAAAAAAGGAAAATCAACAAATTATTATTCGTCTCTGACTTTACTCACGCATCCGTATTCGTAAGATTTCGCGATCCCGAAATCCAACGGCCCAAATTCCTCCTTTAACTCCGAATTATTAGTATACAAACTTATCTTCTGGATATTTCTTAATATCGTCATAAATTTCCTTTAAGTTTTGATTCATCATTAATTTATTATTTTATTGCGACAATGTAATAAATTTAATATATATTTTTAAATATGGTGGACATTTTCATTTTTCTTAAAAGTATAATAGAAATGTGATTTGATATAAAAAAATTTTAAATTTTGATTTTTCATAATATGTTTATATTACATATGAGTTGTGTGCACTGTACCGTTATGAAATTTTATGATACATTTGAACAAATATGCTACTTTGTATAATTTATGGCATATTTACAAATAATATTAAATTAATGCTACAAATTTAATTTATGTATTAGAAAATCAATGATAATTACTCAAAACATAATCAACAATTAGTATAGCTGAATGATAATTAATATCAATTCGGTCATTGAGGTTGAGGTGTTAGGTTTAAGCTTCATATAATTTTAAAAAAGTAATAAAATAAAGAAACACAAATATTACACACAAAAAATTATTACAACCACAGATATTTCTCTCTCCGACTCCAATAACAAATATCGTTAAGTTAACTAGAGCTGGTTTACCATGTTGTAGTTAGAACACACCCGCAACTTATACCTTTTTAACGTTGGACAACTTCTAGCACTTTGCACAATTCATTACTGTACTCGACTAACTTCCATTCCAATATATACTAAAGTGAGCATAATTCAGCGATAATTGGTATATATTTTCAAATTAAGAGATAATAAGTTCGATTTCAGTCCTAATATATTAAATTAAAAAAAAAACTTAAATTACAATATTTGGCCAGAACACGACATTTTTTGAGAAGGAGGAGGAGAAAAAAATGACGGGCTGGTATTTTAGCCTTTCAGAGACCAATAGATTTAACCGCACGGCGTGGAACCGTTTTTTTATATAAACGAAATCAAATTCTGCGGCAACTCTATTTCCTCTCTGTTTGAACTTGACAAGAGAAAGAAATTCTCATCTTCCTCGCGACGACGTGCTAGTTTGCCGCCTCGCACCATAGAACGAGCTTACACTGCGGGTGGTGCCGTTGCTCTGAAGAATCAGAACCTTGGAATTTTCACCGACCCAAGATTCGCTGTTATTACCTACTGGGTTGGACGCCCTGTTCCGATTCTGTATCCGTTCATTTCTCTCAAAAGGTTCCGTTTCAACCGACGATGTTTTTTTTCTAATGTTTGCCTTGATCGTTTTTGTTGCAATGGTGCCAATTTAATAGGAAGAGATTCGTTTTGTTTGTTTGGATTTTGGTTTTTATGGGCTACTACGATTGCATGGAAGGCTTGGTAATTTTCGAATTTCATGCTCTTTTCTTATCGAGTTTTGGAGATCTGAAATCGAAGCCACGATCGTGTTGCTTGCCAGCTCATTTTTTTCAAATAAAATTTCCCGTTTCGTTTGATTGGTGAGTCTGGTATACGTGTATGAGATAATACGGTTCTGGAGGGAATCCATATGTTTCACTTTTTTTATTTTCTCGGACGAATCGGCGGATGGGATGAATTAAGTTCTTTTCATTTACTGGTCGCTTTAATGGAAAAAGTCGGATTTTAGAACGACAATATTCTTTTACGACGATCTTTTTGTTTCTTGTATCATAAAGATTTTTTGTGACGTGGGTTTCTTCTATGCGTGTAAATCGAAGAGGATTCTTTATATTTTGATGTTGTTTTCTTCTATGTGCTGGTACAACAGTTTTTATTTTTATTGTGTTTTTTTGTTTGAATTTCTTCCTGCACGTCAGTCGGGGATGTGTTGAATAGAATGGTTCTTTAAGGTTATTGATTATCATCTATTGGTTTTTAAAATTTTCAGATCGGATAATTTCACCTGAAGAAGTTTGTTGTGATAGTGATTTTCTTTAGAAATTGGTTTAACTATGGTCACAGAGGAGAATGCTTCAAACAAGAAAGAAGATCGTCTACCCAGAGAAGCAAGGGAGATTTTGCAGGCATTGGCCACCAAATGGGGAGATGAAATTAATCCAGGTGCATTGCAAATGATCCCTTTGAAGGGAGCCATGACCAATGAGGTCTTCCAAATTAAGTGGCCGACTAAGACGGAGGACGTCTCTAGAAAGGTTCTCGTTAGGATTTATGGTGAAGGTGTGGATGTGTTCTTTAACCGAGAAGATGAGATAAAGACGTTTGAATTTATGTCAAAGCACGGGCAGGGACCTCGTCTTCTAGGGCGATTTTCAAGTGGTCGAATTGAAGAGTTCATCCATGCAAGGGTATATTGGTTTTATTTTCTTTGTAATGATGCCCTCACTTTGATTTTAATTTTCATCATAGTAACAATCAGATTGAGAAATTGATAATCTATTTTGTGATACGATAAATTTGTGAGAAGATGACCTCAACTTTTTTTTGTTTGTAATGGAGATCAGATTTTGTTCATCAAAATTTCTGCCTGGATTAATGTGGGATGGCCTGCACCACAAGGCTAACATATAATATATCCATGTTTCTAACTCCTCTGTACAACGTGGCTTGTTTTATCTCTATTTATTCTTTTTTTCCTGGCACCTTTCTGTTACTTCCAACTTATTATTGCATATATTTTTTAGGAACTGTTTCATAATGTCATGTTAGCTACTGAAACAGCCTTGGAATTCTTATTAGACATTGGAGAGGCAGCAGGTCCCCCCCACACATACACACAATTTTAGTAGCATTTTTTTGTGTTTTGCATAGTTTAAATCAGGAAAATTGAATCTAATAAGAATAGTGGTTTTTCTTCTTATAGTAACTCTTTTGTCTTGTTGATATGTAACTTTCAGACATTATCAGCAGTGGATCTGCGTGATTCAGAAATATCTTCTCTCATAGCAATTAAAACGAAGGAGTTCCATGATCTTGATATTCCAGGTCCGAAGAGCGTGTGCTTGTGGAATAGATTGCGGTATGGCACTTTAGTCCACTTGTTTGATCTAGCTTTCCTTTCAACTTCTCCAGATATAATGATCTGCACTCGCATTGACCTTGTTTTGGCATATATATTAATTATCTTTCTCACTTGTTATAGTTCTTATGGTCCTTATATAATTTTTTTTCTTCCAGAAATTGGCTAACTGCTGCCAAAAGATTTTCTCCACCGGAAGAAGCCAAAGCCTTTCGCTTGGATTCTATCAAAGAAGAGATTTCTCTATTGGAAAATAACCTCTTGGTGGACCATCAAAGTATAGGTTTTTGCCACAACGATCTTCAGTACGGGAACATAATGCTGGACGAGAAGACTAGATCAATAACTATAATCGTAATCTTCTCTTTCTGCTGGCTTAGAATTTATTTTTCTTAGAATAGTGGAAATTCACATCTATGTTATTTTATACAAATCATTTTACTGTTTGATGAACTGCATTGTATAAAAATAGAATAAACATTGCATATAATCATCTATCTATTGAAAAATTCATCAATGGGAAAATGGTATCTAAGTGTTGCAAAATATATATATATAAAGAATAATTCTTGATACCTTGCCTCTTTTCTTGAGTTATTTGAGGTGCCCAACCTCACTTTGTCTGTTTGCGATAACACTGTCACGAGCAGGCACATTTGTGTAGATGAATATTTATCCAAGATTGGTACTTTCTTAAAAGTAAATTGGTCATGAGGACATGAACATGTTTTCCTGAACGCTAATTTAGGTTCATTTTCTGAATTCTCTTTTAACTGGAACCTATCTACAAGTTGGCCAGTTACGCTAGGATGGAATACCTAATGTTTTTTCTATTTTGGAATTTAAATTTGTGTCATGTTACTCATTATTGATTTTCATAACCCTCTCTTTCACAGGATTATGAATATGCAAGTTATAATCCCATTGCCTTTGACATTGCAAATCACTTCTGTGAAATGACTGCCGATTATCATACAGATACTCCACATGTTTTGGACTACACTAAATATCCCGGTGTGTTACATATTTTATGCAGTCTTTCAGTATTCTTTTATGCACTTTTGTCTGATTGAAGGACAATATTTACTTTTTTTCCCGGTGACAGGTTTGGAAGAGCGTAAAAGATTTGTGCAAATATACATGAGTGCTTCAGGTGATACTCTAAATATTTACTAGAAAATGAATCATGACTTGATTGGCAAGGGACAAAATAAACAGCAGTCATGTCCAGTACTTGGATGTTGAAATACAATATAATGCTCGCTTTGAGAAGCTTTGATTTTCTGTTCAAGTTCAAGTAATTATCAGTTTTGGCTGTTATTAGCTCTCGGATGCTCCGAAGTAACTATTTATTTTTGGCACTTCCTAAATTTTCTCCTGCCCCTGTTGCTCACTACCATTCATTCTCTCAAATTTCTGGGAGCATTCAAATTTATATTGCCTGCTATCTAAGCAGTGCAAAATTTTCAGTGATGTAAATTGATTTTTTTAAAGATCAAAGATGCATTTTTATGGGATTACATTGTTTTGAGAATTTAAAAACTTGAGCAACTTTTTGATTCGGTTGGGACCTCAAATTATGTTACACGTACAGGTCATCGACCCAGTGATGCCGAGGTGAAGCAATTAATCCAAGATGTTGAGAAGTATACACTTGCTAGTCATCTTGTTTGGGGCCTCTGGGGAATAATATCGGTAATTCGCTCTTCCGACATTGAATCTGTGCAGTTATTATTATGGTAGTCATCTTATTGTCTGTGCTAAATAAATCATTGTGTATATGTAACATTTATGTTTCTATTTCGATTAACATGCCATTTTGGTCTACGTTGGAGCTTATTCTATTTTAGTCACTCAACTTTCACTAAATCTTAAAAATAGTCCCAACCCCATAGTTTGAAGTTAATTTTCATTTGATTTAGCAAAAGGATAAATAATAATCTCCTTTCAGTAAATAGGACAATGTGAATATGCTTTACAAGCTTTCAAATAGATGGGACTATCTCTAAGATTTATTGTATGTTCAATAACTAAATTTCGACATTTAAAAGTATATAGCCTATGAGGATATGTCTCGAAATACTGGGATCGAAACGATATTTTTCTCGGCATATTAGGATGCATAAACTCCTCATAATGGGGTATAATTCATGTTTTATGCTCTGAATTGCGATATTTCTATGATGATTGAACCAAATACTAGACTTCCCAAATGACAACCTTATCATCAGTCTATTCATTTCATTTTCAGGAGCATGTGAATGAGATCGATTTCGATTACATCGAGTATGCGAGACAGAGGTTCGAACAATACTGGTCAAGGAAACATGATCTCTTGGGTTCGGTTGCCGAGAGTAAATAGTATGTGTGTGTTTACTTGGTGATTTTGAAGGTTTTCAGTGCTAAGGTGTCGTGATTCATTTATTGACTTGTGTGCCTTTGTAAAAAAACTGCTGTATTTGACCTCCCATGTTGAAGGGTTGGTCCATGACTGTAATGTAGAAGCTAATGAGTGAAGAAATTTGTTTCTGAAACCCAAAAACTGAAACGAGATGATGTAATAAATACAACAATAATAACAATCTGATATGTTTTTAATGTTCTGTTTTTATTATTATTATTTTTTTTTTGCATGTGATTTTTTGTTGTATACAAATTTTGCATTACATGAATGTTTATTTTCCTCTCTAGAAAAATATATTTTTAGTTCCATGTAATTTGGGAAGTGATTTATTCTATTCTTATATTATTCAATGGTTTAGGTCTCGTTTGATATTTTACTTTTAAAAAATTAAGCTTGTAATAACTAACTTGAATCTAGCTCAATTAATTTAGGTACTTATCGTAGTAAAAAAGATTATAATACTACTTCTGTGTGATGGTTATTAGACGGAATTTTAAATTTTATTTAACTTGTTTTTTTGTTTTCTACTTTTTAAACAATAAACTTGATTATGAACGATATTTATTGTTTTCTTTTTTTGAGACTCTTTTAGAAATTCTTGAGTGATGAAATCACACTAAACAGGGGAAATTTAATATGCATTTTAAAAGATCACAAAATTCAATTTTTTTTAAATATAGTATAAATTTGATTTTTTTCCCTACTTTTTTTTTTATTTTAGGTTATATTTGATTTTGATATTGATTTGAATTATGCTACCTTTGTAAAATTTGAAACTTTGTATTGCCTTTAAAAATACATCTTTATTTTATGTTATTCATATAGTTGCCTTTTTTTAATTAGCTTTTTCACAAATCTTGGTTATGGTTGAAAGAAAAGGAGATGATACAATGTGTCATTTCAAATATAAAAATTTAAGATGTTAAGTAGTTGTTTTTTTTTTCTTTTTTTACATTTATATCTCCAAATATTTTATAATCAGATGATCTGTTTGGTAATATTTTCGTTCTTTCATTTTTTGACAAACATGTATGTTTTGCAACTCATCCTTTTTCTCGTTTCTAAATCTAAAAAACGTTTAAAAAAATCGACTAAATTTTAAAAACTACAAAAAGTAGTTTTGTTCCTTTCACGTTCGTTTCTTTTTATCTCCATGATTAGACTGAGTTAGATTAAATATAAAAAACGTGTCTTGTTGTTAAGAATAAATGTTTTGGTGTAAACTAAAAACTAAAAAACAACAAAAATATAAAATAATTATCAAACATATTTTTATTTCAATTTTTTTTCCCAAGAACTAAGATTGCCTCATGTATTTATGTTTCTAGTTAAAAAAAATAGAAACATAAAAAAAAAAAAACTACGAACATGGAACGATAAAATTACCAAAAGGGCCCTAAAATTTTGCCGATTATTATAAAATTGTGTAGTTTTGCCCATGCTAGAGAAAAAAGTGAAAAATCTTGTTTCCAACTTTAACTCTCCCACTCCATTGTTTCTCAATATTATTTTTTCTTTTTCATCAAAACAACTTTTGATAAAAATCTTAGCTATTCTTAACACGATATAAATAATCTAATTGCTATTACTAAAACAAGCATGAGATGTATGTTTGCGTCTAGGTCTAATTTTCCTATTATGATCGTAGAGAATTTGAGTGTAGCTCGGGCTCTCACTTTCTTGTCAGAAATGTTATTTAAAATAAAAAAACATATCATGCCATATTTTGTAAAAAAAATTAAATCGATTTAAAAACAAAATTCAAAATCTTGTATATAAAACTTCGAGAAGGAAAATTCTAAAAAATTGGAGTCTTCTATTTACAATATACATTCGGTGATCCATTCACCGCAGCCAACAGTAAACTGACACGTAGCCGTTCCAAATCCCACCCAATTCCCACGCCACAAAACGGCCATCCATTACAAAATATCTCGTCTTTTCCATCGCATCTCAAAATCCACGAGAGGAAGAAACAGCCCCAGCTCCGAGCTTCTTTCTCTGAAGTTCGAAGCAGTTTGAATCTGTAAAAGGGTCTGATTTTTCTGAGGAATCGATTCACTGCGCCGGGGGAATGATGGCTTGTGCTTCACAGGCGCTGATTGCGCCAAATGCATGCTCGTTCTCGAGCCAAAGAGCCATTAAAAAGTCTCAGAGATTCTTCTACCAGAGTTGTTCCAATTTCGTGTTCACGGTCAGAGCTTCCTCTGAAGATTCCGATTGCAATGTCGACGAATGTGCTCCAGATAAAGAGGTTGGTCCGCTTGCCTTTGAACCGCTTGAATTTTGTCTAAATCTCATAAAATTGGGATATGTAATTCCATGTCGTAGGTGTAATTACTCACTTCGATTTTATTCCGAGGTTCATTTATTATTTAATTTTGTTTCCGTAGACAAATTGATTGAACAGAATGCTTTATGCTTGTCATTTTTATTGATTGAGTCGTATAATTTGTAGAAAAGGAAGTTCTCGTCGTACACAAACAATTATGTAGAAGCTGAAATAAAGACAGAAATACGCTTAGATTTGTGGTTTTATCTTTACTGGTGCTTCTGTAAAATGAAATTCAAAGTCCCTAACTAATTATTCAGAGTTTAATCTTTTTGCGAGGAACAATACTGCACTTATGACTTCAAATACGTTTGATTTTACAGCTTGCTACTTGGTCATTGAGACCGTACATGATGTCTTGTGCTGTAGTAATTTGGAATTAACAGTTAAGTATAGAAATTCTGACAGTGCAATGTGTATTTGCAATGAAGGTGGGGAAAGTAAGTATGGAATGGCTTGCTGGGGAGAAAACTAAAGTGGCTGGGACATACCCACCAAGGAAAAGAGGGTGGACGGGCTATGTTGAGAAAGACACTGCAGGACAAACAAACATATATTCAGTAGAAGTAAGTATGAGTTCCCCATTGATTGTCGATGAAGTTATCTATTTGTGGATTATCTGCTCATGTGAATGTCTTGAAGGAAAGGAAATTTGTTGTATGGCTTAGACAGACACTAGATGTTCATCTGTAGTGAGTTTCAAATACAGGGTTCCGGGATGGTGTTTATTTGATCCAATTAATCCGTGTGATTCGGTTTCTAAGGCCGAATTGATAACCATTTTGTTTTATGTTCTCTATTTTTAAAAATATTATATTCACCTATGTATTCATTTGTTTTATTATATAGTTTTTTTCTTTTCAAAAAAGTAGTTTAAAACGTATTTTTGACTTTGAGATTTGGTTAAGAATTCAAATATATTTTCAAGGGGGAAAAACTTACTAATGAAATTGTAACAAAACAAGCAAAGTTTTTAAGAAACATAAAACTAAAAACGAAATGGTTATTAAACGGTACCTAAATGTTTCAACAATAAAAATTTTAGGTTATACATGTCTGTTTTCATAAACTGATGGCATTTTTGGATCGCTTTAACTGAGGACATGATTTTTTATTGTTGATCATCCGAAATGGGATATCGTTCTTTTACCTGGTCGGCTTCACGTTTTGTTGGGCAGTCTTCCTTGATTGACTTGATTTGATCTTCATCTTGGTCTATTATTTTCTTGGAAAGATTAACTCTTATCTCACCACCTTGCATATTCACAATATTGAATAACATTTTCTTCTTCCCTTCTTTGTTCCCTTGGATATCATATCACCTGGCTCCTTAAATTATGTGTATTTGCAGCCAGCAGTTTACGTAGCAGAAAGTGCAATAAGCTCGGGAACGGCAGGTTCTTCTTCTGAAGGAGCGGAGAACACATTGGCAGTTGCTGGTGGACTTGCACTCCTTTCAGTTGCTGCAGCTTCAGCTATACTGCTTCAAGTTGGTAAGAAACCACCTGAAGTAAAAACTGTTGAGTACACTGGTCCATCACTCAGCTACTACATTAACAAATTCAATACGCAACTGCCCGTACAAAGCGAACCCGAATCCTCCTCTCAAGACAACGTCATCGCTCCTGAAGTTACAGAGATTCAAGTTCAATCAGACATTGTTGCTCCTGAAGTAACGGATATTCAAGTTGAAACCCAACCTGTGGCCAGTGTCCCGTAGGCTAATCGAATCGTATTTGTGTGAATTTTTTAGAGGCTTGTCTTCTGTATTCATCTGAAATGAATATTGGTCCTCAGCCATTACAGTTCAAAAATGGAAACATGATATTTGCAGATGTGGTGCAAGTGCAACCCCTTTTTCTTGCTGCAGTTGTGGTGGTAAAGGGAAGATGAGGCTTGAATTGGTTAACTGTATGTAAACAGAAACTCCAAATAAAGTATAAACTTACCTATCTTTTTTGGCTGGAAAAGGTTATTCATCAATTCAATTGTTTGATTGCTGAGAAAGTGCAATAAGGAAAATTTCAAACCAACTTAAAAATTATATGTATGGATAAAAGTTATAAACTTGAGTTGAAGAAGAATAAGCAAGATGTAGAATCATAACTGTATGAAGGAGACGGATAATTTATATATGAAAACTAACATAGAGGTACATTGCATATACAGTAGCACTATGAATGTCGTATTTACTCAAAGTAAGATTCAACTTTCATGTTTTTATTAAAAAATGGAATTGCATTATGTCAAAAAAAAAAAAAAAATTTCATACTTTATCACATTTTGATTTCGATTTTATTCGTCCAATAACTTAAATGTTGTTATTAACCAATACTTTTTTTAGTATAACAAGTGGATGTGAGAAATTCGAATTCATGACTTATTGGTTAGAGACATATGTTAATTATTACTGAACTAAGCTCAGTTAGCTTATTAACTAATATTTTGTTAGCTTTTAAACGTCGTTTTCAAATGTATTTAAATTATGGTTAAATATTAATGAAATTTAAGTTAAAATGGGATATGAGAAGTGAATATGAGTCATAGTGGTAATTGACTTCTACTCCTTCATTTGAGATCGAAAGTTAAATTCCATATTTCCAATTTGTTGTACTAAAAAAATAAAATATGAGAAAATTTAGGAGGTTTCTGGTATGCAATATTGTTTTAAAATTAATTAAATTAAATGCAACAATATTGTTTTAAAATTAATTAAATTAAATGGACCCTGAACAATTTTTTAAATTGAATATTCAATTTTCAAATCTACTACGAAACATATCTATATCTATACTATATTAAAAAGGTAGGATCTAGGAAAAACATTTTTGGACACTTTTACCCTTTACTAAATTTACAAATTACAAATTATACTATTAATGTATTATTACAAATATTAAATTAATTATTAATTATTAATTATCCATACTATAAATGCATGGAATATAAAAGGTTAGAATGCAAAAAGTTTTCCAACAACATAAAATTAATTTTTTCTTTAATTAAAACTCATACTAGAATTTCAAGAGTTTTAGAATTTGAAAAGCTTTTGTAACGTTTTATCCTCTACTACTATAAAAATAGGCTTTCTTCTACATGTTTTTCACAAGTTTCAATACTTTTTTATTCTCGGTTCCTTCAAACATCTCTCAAAGATGATTCAATCATGAAAACATCTCGAGATATTTGTGACATATTCATCAAGTTGCAAGGGAGGCATATGTTGCATCTATCTCGAATACTAGGTTTGTGACATTACCATTCCACATATTTACAAAGTTGAATAATAGTATATGTCAAGCAATCTTCAAGAATGAGCATATTTACTCTAAAAGATGAGTGTATAGTAAGTATTTGGATTTTTTTTTGTTACTATTGTTATTTTTTTAATTAGTGTGTTTTTTATTTGGAATGTTTCTTTTTTTAGTAATTTTATTTAGTTTAGGATTTGGATTTTTCTTTTTGTTACTAATGTTTTTTTATTGTTTAGTGTACTTTTTTTT